GTTTTAATTTTTAATGATTATGACAATTTTTGAATAGAGTATTGTTCAGTGGAATCTGTCATAGCAAATGTTAAAAAAAAACATCTTTATATTCACAAAAAAGGTTCATATACTTTTTTAATTTCTTTAAGTTTCTACTTCACATAAAGACTTTTATGCCACAGACAGTGAGGGAGGAAACCATCAAATGACTTCTGCCGCCCAGGGTGAGGCGGGAGGGAGTGTCAGACTCTTACTGACTAAAACCCCCCCGTTCCTTCTCCTGCTCTAGGCCGAGGCCGCGGTGCCTCATTGCGCTTACCCCGCTACCCCGGAACATCGGCCCTGTTGGGCCCAATCTGTGGTGGTCTATTAGTTGTTAGTCTAAAGGGAAATTCAAGCGACAAGACAGCTAACAAAAAAAAATACGTCTGTGTATTTTCCTCTGACAGACTCCAATAAAAAAATAATATGTCATAAACATCTGACAAATGATTTAGGGCTGATTTTTCAACAGTCAGATAAATGTTATCTGACGAATAAAATTGTTGCTGTCACTGTCTTAGACAAACATTCTGACGCGACAGCAACATAATTATTTCCCAGGTAACTTTTATCTAATTATTGAAAAATCAGCTCTAAATACATAAATAACAAAGATTAAGTACATACAGGTTAAATACTGATTTATAAAATGCTTCTATTAAGTACCTTAGTGCCATTTTGCGTTGCTTTTAGCGTACTTGGACAGCAGATTTAACTACACCTTCCTGTCTTTCTTATTCATTCGATTATAAACTTTATACGTTTGGTATGAAGTCGAAAATCAAATGACGGATAAAGTGTAGTTTTATCTGCGGTTATTTTGAATTATATTTTTGTGTCTCAACTATATTTTGTATCTAGTTTTTTTTTCAACAGGATGTTTGGTTAAATCAGAGATGTATTGTAGCAACATACTTTATACTTCACATAGAAAAAAAATATAATAATTTAAGACTGGGAGAGCCATGCTTTGGCACGAAAGGATTGGCTCGACCGGAGCGATACCACGGCCTCACAGAAAACCGGCGTGAAACAATCACAGCGTTGTGTTTTCACCGCGTGAGTGAATCACAATCCTTTTCCTCCCCCAATCACTAAATCTCTAAAACCCTTATCTCCAAAACTAACTTCTCTGGTTAACCAGTTGGCTGCGGCATATTATACAGCATGTTTTATTTATTACATCTTTCATTTAACCAAACACCCTGTATAAGTGATAAATATTATGTATAATTATATATTTAAAGCACCTAGCGTGAATGGTAACATTTTTTATTTACTACAGTTATTAGATATACAATAATTAATAATATATTTTATATAAATCTTTTTTGTATTTTACTCTTCACTAAAATATTTATTGAGTCCACCGTACACTACATAATATAATATACTTTTTTTTAATTTTGAAAATGTTGCATATTTTTTTTTATTACTTATGTTGTATACTTGAGCGAAATAATTGTTTTTGATTTTTAAAATCCGTAACGAGTAGTCGATCTCTTTTGAAGGGCTTTTCGATTTTTGACATAAATGATATTTATTTGAAGTACAAGTCAAATCAAAAATTTGGAGTTTTTTGATTAAGATCGGCCGTAAATTTTGATAAATACTTTTGTATGTTATTATGAGGTTATTTTAATCATAATTTTTTAGTCGCATACCTATATTATTTAAGACTCAGATTCTAGACTTTAAAGTTGATCTTAGTAACTATTTTAATTTTCAAATTAAAGAAGTAGGTAATGAAAAAAAAATTGCAACATCGTCATAAAAATTCAACTATTTAAATTAAAACAATAATAGGTTAGTTTTTTCTATACAATACAATAATAATAAACCTTTTATTGGCTACAATAACATTAATATAATATAATAAATATTAATTATTATTTAATTTTATTAAATATAACGGAATGACACTAGACGATTTGACAATAAAGCTGCTGCAGCATATTCCACTGAATAACACTACAGCGCTTTTTTAAATAAATATTTATATGAGTATATACTTATTATAATTTCTTTTTTTATTAAACGACACTTTTACACATATATTTAGTATATATCTACATCGAACACATATATTTTAAGCATGTTTTTGTGTTATATTTCCGTAACGACGCCATTTTGTTTTCAAGCAGCGTTTTAGATTTTTAGCTACAACTAGATGGCGCTTTTATACAGTTTACAGCCGGATGAGAGCTTTCTTTATGACTGGCTGCTTACAATAAGAAGGTCTTCAATGAATTGGGTGCTAATATAATTAGAAATAATTGGCTACTAGAACGATTTATTTAGAATGACGACTTACGCGAATTTTTAGTGGACAACCATGCTTCGGCACGAATTGGTCTGCTCCACCAGAGTGATACCACGGCCTCATAGAAAACCGACGTGAAACAACTACAGCGTCCGTCGATTCCCGTTGTGACAAAGAGATACTAGCAGATTTTTTTTTTCAGTTAATTCACGGGACTAAGTAGTTCCTTGCTTGTTATGTAGCCAAATATTTAAAGGACATTTATACTAGCGGCCCCCTAGCGGCAAGATCTATAAATTTAGTTATCATTTTAACATATTTTTTTTTTCAAAAATTATTTTAAAGACGAAGTCAAAAATGACGATTTATGATTTTGGAAGAGATTTTTGCCTTGAACGTTATTTGTTTAAACTTAAATAATTTTACTTGTTAAATTGTGAAAATTGGGTATATATTATAAGGATGGAGGCTCTTTATTTTTACTATTTTAATTTCCTTTTAATAAATTTTTCATAAATTTACACAGAAATTTATACACGATTTTTTTTTCTTATATTTTTCAAACAGTTTCCGTCACGTTGAAATTCTATTTATATTATAAGCAACGATGCATTGAGATCCAACTTCAATACTTATCAACAAAATATGGATTTACGAAAAAAAAACTTATATTTGTAACAATAAAAACCAAATTTCCCATAAGTTTTTTTTCTCAGTCTGCCATTGTTAAGTCAATCGTTAATAATCTCTAATGTAGCTTGCACATAGAATACGGTAGTTTCCAACTAGTCAAATTCAATACTTTTATCCAAATGTCAAAAACTATACTTTTGTATGAAGATTGTATGAAAAACTGAGTTATGACGCCAAAGTTTTTTGCGTCAAATAGCTTACTTATTTCTTAATAATTAGCTACAAAATATCTAAATATCGATCGATCAATGAATAAAAGTATAGTTATTTTTCAATATTTTATGGTATTGAAACGTCGAATTATTTTATTTTTGACCTAGGAAACTACCCAATTCTTGTTTACATTTTCTTCAATAAAACTAGATCTTAAAGTTTCAAATAGCTGCGCTTGTAACAGCCATCATCCCTAATAATATTTAATTTAAAAACAACGGCTTTCTGTCTATTGTTCAAATTAATAATTAAACAAAGTTTCCAAAGAGGTTGAATATAATTCCAGTATAATGTAAAAAATACATTTACAAATACTTAAAAATAAAATAAACCTAACTTCGTTGATTTGAATTAAGAAATGTTATTTATATTGAAAATCATTTATATAATTTGACCGGATAATTTTTCTTAGAAAAAAAAACTAAATACCTATATTTTAAATTTGCCAGCCAATTCATTTGGTAGGTAAGAAAGTAAATATTGACTATACTAAATTATTTCTTTTTTTTTTAACTGCACATCTATTTATAAAAAAAAGCAAACAAAATTTCTCCACTAATAACCTACTATTTGATTACCTAAACATGTTTTATTAAGAGAGAGATGCTCGACTAGTTTCGAGGCACAACGGGACTCTTATTAAAGCGCGCAGCCGAATTGAGAGTCGTTTACGTAAGTCGTTATATTTTAAATCAATATTTTTTTCTTTATCTGCATACCAAATAAATTGGCACAACTCATGTATCCGCATGTATCCTCATAGAAAGTTAAAAATTAAATAAATTTGACTAAAAGAATTCGTTGTTTCATTTAACTAACGCTGAGGAACCCAACAAAGTAAAAAATAAGGAACTTTTGGAAGTTTTTTTCTTCAACAAATTTCGACACTGATGTTATATACTTCAATAGATATATACTTACATATATATGTGTATATAAGAAAGACAAGAAAAGGAAGACAAGTGAATAGGGAAGATGACATTTTTGACGTGATAACTCATTGATGACGTCATTGTCCCGTTACGCTCTTTGTCACGTTCCGCAAGAGAGAGAGAGCGCTATACGAATGAGAAAGATGGATGATCGGCATATTGGTCTTAAGGACATATTCGCGTACTTGGATATGTCTCTCATTCAAAATAAAACCTTTTTTGTGAGGGGAAAATCATCAAATGACTTCTTCCGCCCAGGGTTGGGCGGGAGGGAGTGTCAGACTCTTGCTGACTAAAAACCCCCCCGTTTCTTCTCCTGCTCTGGGCCGAGGCCGCGGTGCCTCATTGCGCTTACCAACATCTGTATAACTGACGGACTGAAGGGATATTTGATTTTAATTAATTTTTCTTATTTTTTTTTTTAAATTAAATATACCGTTTTTCTGTCACCGTCCCTATTCTATGGAAGCTTAATTTGAATTTGAACACAGAATTGAATTATATTAGATGAAAAAACTGATTGATGATTAAACTAACTAATGGAATGTATAATAAGTAGTTACTGAAGATTTTATCAAAAACATATATTTTTTTATACTAATAATTATAATGACGAACAAACAAAAAACTAAATACTCGAAAGGAATGTCATTGGTACTCTTTTGAGTATAAATAAATAAACAATACAACGATATTTATTACCAATAAAAACATATAATAATGGCACCATATTGAACGATTATTTTCGTATGGCAATAAGTACGTAGGAACGAGAGTGTTAAGTTAAACTGAATCTAAAGGCAAGGTGATAAGGTATAAAATTAATTGTGTTAATGTATAAAAATTATTATAACCAAATACTCTTTAACTATAACAAATACATTATTATGCATTCTATTATTGTGTTTCTTATTTCTTATTAATAACTATTTCATAATTTCATCTATGGTCTGTCGGTCTACTCGGTCTTTTTGTGAAAAGACCTACAACTATGGAATGTTATAACAAAACTAATCTATCATTTGAACATTTACCTTCTTATTTCTATGGTCTCGTTAGGTCTTTTAACTATATTACGTTTTCAGCTATGCACAAATTAATATAAAATAACAATCATTGTTGATTTACATAAATTCTATAATGGTCTTCTATGGTCTACTCAAATTTCTATAATATAACCAGTAGACCATATTCTAAACGTTCATAAATAAAATCTAAAACAGCTATAAGCTTATTTATTCACCCTAATTTAACGGTCTTCTCCGGTCTACTTGGTCTTTTTATATTTTTGTGAGTAGACCTTCCAATTCTAGGACTTCGGGTAACTCTATCGCCTCCAATCGTATTGATGAGGGGTTGAAGGGGAATTGTACCGAGAATATCATCTTCGTGTCCATCAGAAGATTTTGCTGTGAAAGAGAAAGAAATAGAACGATTAGTCCACATAAATTTGGGCTTTATTTGTATACAGTTATAGATGATTTTTCAATGAGAACCTGCTTCTCAAGACTTAAAGCATTTCAAAGTTGAAATATTTAGTAGAATTTGGAATGGTTTTATAAAACTTTTGTATTTTTTTAAGCTTTGATTTAATCGGTTCCACGCTTTTCAAGATGTCTGAAATGCCTTGAAATATTGCATGGCAATCTTTGACTAGCTAAGGCTCGAAATAAATCGTCTTAATATCAATTCTCTATCAATGAAAAATGGACTTTAAAATCTGAGGGACAAGATAAAAAAATAACTTTATAGGGATAGTGGTAAAGTTAAAAGTTAATGTCATTGAAAAATGGTCTTTAAAAGTTTTAAAATAAGGTTTGAACTTACAGGATCCTTATCGGGGTTGGCTCCTGTCTTCTCCTGCATTTTCTTCTGTATTTCGTGTATGAACTCTCTTGTCACTTTCACTTCGTACTCCTCGGCGGGAGTGTACATGTTCAATATCTGGGTGAGGCAAAAACGAAAATTAATTAAATTGTTTTTTTTTAATATCCTAAGGCCATAATTTCTTGTGTGGGAGAGCCATGCTTCGGCACGAAAAGGTCGGCTCGACCGGAGTGATACCACGGCCTCACAGAAAACCGGCGTGAAACAACCACATCGTGGTGTTTTGTCGTGTAAGTGAAGTTATCGGAGGGCCAATATTTCTCCTCCCCAATGCCTAATTCCCCAAAAGGTCGGCAAAGCACTCATAACTCCTAAGTTGTAGTAGTTGTCCATGGGCGTCGTCAATACGGTTGTTTCCAACTAGTCAAATTCAATACTTTTATCCAAATGTCAAAAACGATACTTTTCTATGAAAATTGTATGAAACATTGAATTATGACGTCATAGCATTTTTGCGTCAAATAGCTTACGTATTTTAAAAAAATTAGCTAAAAAATATCTTAAACTTAGTGTATCGATCGATCGATGAATAAAAGTATAGTTATTTTTCAATATTTTATTGTATTAAAACGTCGAATTAATTTATTTTTGACCTAGGAAACTATCCAATTGTTTACCATTGCAATCCCTGTGACCGTTACACAAAAAAAACATTAACCTTTTTTGTGGGTGTGGGGGGGATTATCTAGTGACTTCTCCATCCCATTTCTTCTCCTGATCCGGGCCGAAGCCGTAGTACCCCGGGCTGAAGTAAAATACACCCTAAATACATAAGAATAAAGATCAACTTACCTTGCAGACTTGCATAGCGGTTAAGTTAGCGCACATATCCACAGTGCTCTGGACGTCCTGCATCGATTTACGCGCTTGAAGCAACTGTACCGCTTGAGTAATGGGCTTCAAAACGCCTAGTATTTCTTCAACCTGGAAAATGTATTCTATTTTGAAGGCTTTAAGGTTCATTTTAATTAGCTAGTAGTTCACAATAATATGATTTTTCGCGTTATATGTACTTTCTATGATTATTAAGACACCACTTACATACGGTGTAGGAACACAAATTATAGTAGCGTGATGTTTTATAACCTAAAGCCTTACTCGATAAATGTACTAATCAACACAAAAAGAATTATTTTATTCGAACCAGCAGTTCTAGATATTAGCGCGTTCAAACATACAAACTCTTCAGCTTTAAAATATTATAAATATAAGTAACAGTATAGATAAATTTTGATACTTACGCTCTTCTGGCCGTACTCGGCTAGATGCTCCTTGATCCAGGTCTCTAGATGGGAGATGTTGTACCTGATCTGCAGACCCTTGGCCCAGCAGCACAGGTCCTTACGCAGGAGGAGCTGGTTCAAACTGTACGCGCATATGTAGTAGAATAACTGGAACAAAAATGAATTCATATATATGTCACCGGAAAATAACAAGATCCGTAAGTTTATCAATTTACTAGGAAGTTTATAAACTTTCGTAAGATTCTAAACGGGAGATAAATTGTGGACGTAAAATGTGGACGTAAAATATTACAATTTATCTCCCGTTTAGAATCTTACGAAAGTTTATAAACTTCCTAGTAAATTGGTAAACTTACGGATCTTGTTATTTTCCGGTGACATATATAAAAATCAATGCCACTTTTCGTTGTAATGTTATAACTCAACAATGCCTTTACCGATTTGGCTAATTTTTGTCTCGAATTATTCGTGGAAGTCCAGAGAAGAAAAAAGAATTAAAAAAAAATCTTCAAAAAGTGTAAAACTGAACACCACGCGGGCGGAGTCGCAGGCGACCGCTAATCCAAACTTATATTATAAATTCGAAAGTCTCTGCCTGTCTTTTCTTCACGCCTAAACTACTGAACCGGTTTCTGTGAAATTTGGTACAGACATAGTTTTGAACTCGAGAAAGGACATAGGATAGTTTTTATACCAAAAATCTGCTGGAAGTCACTATTCCATGCGTACGGAGTCGAGGGCAAAAGCTAGTGTAATATAAAATTAACAATACCTGTTTAAATATCATCAATCGTAATGGCTGATCAACAGCGAAGGTGTGAAGGTGGTCGTGTGTGGCCGATAGTTCCTGCTTCAGCCTCTGTGGGCCTGCCCCGGCCTGGGGAGGCCTGGCTGTAGGCCCTGAGAGGCCACTGATCTCCTCGTGTTCCAGGATAGCCGGGATTATTAGCCGTTCTAATTGGCGTTCTAGGAGGTGGATTAGGCCTGAAAAAAGTAGGTAGGGTATCTGTTAATACTAAAAATCGTGAAATTTTTAGGTAGATTCTGTTTCTGATTGTTCTGTTTTAAAAAAAAACGTTGCCCCACATTAGGATTTTCTCCTGTGTCGTGGGTTTACAAACATACAAATTCACATGCACATATCACACTCAGACCCGGAACAACAATCTGTTGATGACACAAAGAGTTGTTCCGTGCGGGAATCGAACCCGCGACACGTTGCGCGGCAGCCAGTTGCCCAGCCACCGCGCCAACCGTGCAGTCATAGATACTTTAAGGTAGCAGGCGGAATATCATTTTTTTTTAGTTTTTTCCCTAATAACAGATTGATATTGAATAGTATGGTGTCAAAGCATATTTACGAAAACGAAATGCTTATACAATTGAACTTGTTAAAGCAACCAAAGTTAGAAAAGGCGTACAAAAAAGTACATACATCTCTTATATCTATCTATCTATCTAATATAAGTATCGGTAAAACTGAAACAGCTTGAACGACTGAGTTAATTTTTCTTTTTAATTATTCATGGAACTCAAGAGAAGGCCTAAACGGCGAGTAAATATGTATAGGCATTAGCAAAAAGGAAATCCACATACATTCGAGAACAATATTATTACATTCTTAAGCACACTTGAATCTAGTCACACATTACCTATAGCAACTTGAAAAACCAAACGCCATGACATTCTTCCGTCGTGGACTTACCCTGGTATATCCAGACGGCGATATCGCTTAACACCTGGCGATATTCGGACAGGTCGAAGATGCGCAGACATTGCTGGTTCTGCCGCGGCGTGTTAGCTGACTGGTAGATAGTATCCCCGCTGTATTGGCGGAGATTGTTCAGGAGACTGTGGACAAAAATAGCATATTTATTTTTCATGGAATAGGAGCCAAACGTGTCCGGCCCAGTCCCATTTAAATTTTGCAGCCGAATGCATCCGGAGAGGTGGGCTACTATTGTCACCCAGTGGACACCTCAAGATGGAGGCCGCAGGCAGGGTGACTTACTTTGACTTAATACCCTGTGTCCCTTCGACGGGGCAGAGAGCGTCCACTGAAGTTCTCCATCGCGATCTGTCTTGAGCTTCACGCTTTACCTCACGCCATGTCATACCAATGCCCGTCGCTTCTGCCAGTACGGTGCGACGCCAGGTTTGTCGTCGACGGCCACGCTTTCTTTCCCCTTGGGGATTCCAATCCAAGGCTTGCTTGGGAATGTGGCCAGGACCCCTTCGGAGCGTGTGCGCTATCCTCTGTGGTGGATGGAAAGCGCAGACGGGGTAGGCTCCAGAAAAAAAGGCATGACGATCTAGACGCCTATCGTCGAGACTGGTGTCGAAAGATCGGGAGGTGTGGAAGCGAGATAGGGAGGCCTTTGCCCAGCAGTGGGACATTACAGCTTGGAGTTGTCATGCTCACTGAAAGGTCACACTGGCGGTGGCATGGGCACTGGATCGCTTAATTCCCTATAATATGGTTGAGTTGGGCGATGCTGGTGTACGTGTCATGCTCGTGAACGAGCGCCGTCAGTTGGGACTGGTCAGCTCCAGACTGTCTATTGTCCTTAAGGTTACTTTATTTTTATATTTGAATAAATATTAGTGTTACACTGTTCTCACATAATTGAACCAACTGTTTGTAAAAGGAATCTGTATGTGAAACTGATTTAAAAAGAGTAACCATGGAGTTTCTTGCTCGTTCTTTTCCATCGGAATCTACACTTTGGAACGAGCAAATAGCTTCACTAAGAGGACTGACCGACAGACTGACACTATTTTTTATTTTAAATTTTGTTTGACGTTCAAAAGTGCCTGTAAAGGTCTAATTGGAATAAATGATTTTTGACTTGACTTTTGAGTAAAAAAAAGGAGCCAAAGAAGCAGGCGGATCACCTGATGATAAGTGATCAGTTCCGCCCATGGACACCTACAACTTCAAAGGAGTCACAGGCGTTGCCGGCCTTTTAAAAAGGAGTACTCTCTTTTCTTGAAGGTTTGTAGGTCGCATCGGTTCGGTAATACCGTCGCCGAAAGATCATTCCAAAGTTTTGCTGTGCGAGGTTGGAAAGTTTCGCGAACGCGCGTTTCTGTCACTGTCACTGACGAACAGACTGACGGACTATTATTTTATTTTGACGGGTCAAAAGTATAAGCGTCGGGAAGGAGGGAGTGTCAGATTCTTGCTGAATAAAAACTCCTCCGTTCCTTCTCCTGCTCTAGTCCGAGGTCGCGGTGCCTCATTGCGCTTACCCCGCAACCCCGGCTGAACAACAGCCTTATAGGGCCCCGTCTGTGGACTATTAACTCTATGAGCTTCGGTACGAGAAGTAATGTTTATATGTATAATAACATCTAATAAATAGTGCGAAACCTTACTATCAGTTTTGCAGCCGTGCAAAATAAAACTAGAACTCACCGCAACATATTAGCGAGCCATAGAGCATTGTACTCGACGCTTTCAGCTCGTTTCTTCAAGGTCTTTTTGACGGCAGTGCGGACAGCTTTCATGAGCTGGTGCATCTTGGGCTCATCGTCCACGTGGTCCATGTGTCGAAGCATCATGAACAGGATGTAGGCTGGCAACCCAGGCAGCAGGGTTACTGCTGTTTTGGGCTTCAAATCTGTAAATGTAAGGTTGAATTTAGCTTGCTTTTAGTATTAACAAAATAAAATAATTATGAAACGGTGTATAAAATTAGGTACGTGACAATGTGAGTTTAAGTGTGGGAGAGTCATCCTTCGGCACGAATGGGTCGGCTCAACCGGAGTGATACCACGGCCTTACAGAAAACCGACGTGAAACAACCACAACGTTGTGTTTCGCCGTGTGAGTGAGGTTACCGGAGGCCCAATCCTTCCCCTACCCCAATCCCTTCCCAATCCCTAAATACCCAAAATCCCAATCCTTAAAAGGTGGGCAACGCACTCGTAACTCCTTCTTTGTTGCTGGTGTCCATGGGCGACGCCGATTGCTTACCATCAGGTAATGCGTCTGCTCGTTTGCCGTCCTATCAAATAAAATAAAAAAAAATATATATATGTGAAATCTAGTTTTTTCATTAACGTTTTATACGGAATAATTTGAATAAATAAATAAATAATGTGTTGTGTGCGACGCTATAGTTTTTCCGTCAAATAGCATATGTAGTTATTTCTTGGAAATAACTAATACAATAGCAAAATCGAAAAATAAGGGGAAAACATTACAAATGTTTAATAAGTACACATACACAATATCAACATTTATTCCAAGATTCTTAAAAAGTTTATAAAAAAGCGTTATAAAAAAATATTTAAATATGTAAATTAATAGAGCGGATCTAGAGTAAAAAATTATTTGTCATCAAGTTATAAAACTTGTATTAGCAGAAGAGGATCGCCTAGACACGACAAAAAAGACGAAGAGCTTTGCCGACCTTTAAGGCATTCAGGATCGCCGATTGCAGATAGTGAAGAGGTGATTGGTGATATGGGACAAGGTTTGAGATTAGAGATTAGAGATGCGAAACGGCGGTGTGAAAATGGTGATTGTAGAATAGGTAGGAAATGACAATTGTAGAATGGGGTTGGAATTGGAGATTGGGAGTTTGGAAATGCATTTATCTTGAATGAGTGTCGATTGCATAAATAGGATTGGTTTTGGATATTGCGTTTAGGCGATAGGTTGGGATTATGGTGATTGGAGATTGGGGAGGATGATTTGGCCTGAAAAGTAATGAAACTCACCAGAAATAAGCTTCTTAATGATCAACCCTTCGTCCTGTATCTTGTATTCGAACATGCCGAGGTATTCGCGTTCCTTCTTCCGTGTGACCGGCGCCATCTCTAGCGTCATCGAAGCGTTTGGTGGCACCACTGGATCTGGAACAATATTTATATGAGAGGATCCAGTCGGAGTGGCAGGCGCTAGACAAGGAAGTGATTGGATTTTAGTCAGTAAGAGTATAACACTCCGTATCGTCTCACGCTGGGCGAGAGAAGCCATTTGATGATTTTCCTCTCAAGAAAGAGTGTTTTGAAGGCGAAAAAGTCATCAGAAGTCTTCTCTTGCCAAAGACCACCCTGTTCCTCCTCCTGCTCTGGGCCGAGGTCGCGGTGCCTCATTGCGCTTACCCCGCAACCCCGGATGAACATCGGCCCTATAGGGCCCCGTCTGTGGTGGTCTATTGGCTCTTTGAGGCGCGCGCGGATCGCTACGCGCCGTACGCTCGGGTCTGGTTCTGGTCGGGCGGCGAGCTACCCTTACTCGCCGTCCGCAGACCCGCGCTAATGATGGCCGAAGATTAGGGGTAATCTTCGGGGATCCAGGATCCATTCTATAATCTCCGACGTAAAGAAGTATGTATGTATATATAACTTACCATTGCTATCAAGAATATCGTTGACATCATCGATGCCGACCTCCTTTAGCTTGTTCACAAGTAAACGGATTTGGTTCTTGTAGCGGCGACAGCTTTCTGATAACTTATCTACGCGTTCCTGTATTCCATATAATATAAATCTTAATTAATTAATCACTACATAGTATAAAACAAAGTCGCTTTCTGTGTCCCTATATCACTGTATAAGCTTAAATCTGTACAACTACGCAACGGATTTTGATGCGGTTTTTTAATAGATAGAGTGGTTAAGAAAGAAGGTTTATATGTATAATAATATCCATTAAACAGTGGAGAAATTTACTATCAGTATTGCACCCGTGCGAAGCCGGAGCGCGTCGCTAGTATATAATAATCTAAATAAAACTAAAGAAAATTTGCAAAATGTCGTGTGAATGAGGTCGATAGAGGCAGAGTTCTTTTCTCCCCTTACTCAATCTTCAATCCTCAAATTGCTAAGCCCAAAAAGCCGGCAACGGCAACTCTTGCAAACTCCTTAGGCATGAGCCTACAAGGAAGATTGGGTGAAGGGAGGGGGGCAGCATATTCTCCCGCCCCGCTTAATCCAATCCTCGAATCTACAAAAGGCCTGCAGCGCATTTGCGCATTTGTAAATCTCCTCGTATTATAAGTTACCATAGGCGACGACATGCTTACCATCAGGTCAGGGCATGATAAAACTGATCATTTACCGCCTTCTTACAAAAAAAAACAAATGAGTATATAATACAATAGTTCCAAACACTCGATTCGCCTCCTCGTTCATTATGCGAACTGCTAAAATCTGGAATACTCTCCCCGTGTCGCTGTTCCCAGAGACCTACGATTTAGGGATTTTTAAGGCAAGAGTCAATAGGCGTTTTTTGAGTTTGCGCGTTCCACCTCAGAACCCACCATTGCTTACCACCAGGCGTGATAGAGGTCACACGCACTCAAATAACAAATATATAAAAAAAAAACTCATTCTATTTTACCTGTAAAGCCAAACTTTCAGCTGCCAACCGAATAATCTCATTTTGCGCAAACTCTTGAGTCTTGTTCTTCGGTTCCGCGCTCAATTCGGAGCTAAGCAACCTAAAACAAACAGATCATTTATAAAAACTATAACATAACACTAACATTGTTATATTAAGAGCATATGTAATAGAGAAATAATAATGAAAAACGTATATTTTTGAATTAGATAAAATAAATTATTAAAGTAGAAAAAAGAAGTTTTCTTAAAAAAGTTTCAGAATATCCCAAGAAGTTGTTTTTGAAGCTACTAATTTGTTTATGGACGGGCCACACTAACGACTAATGACGTAATTTATTAAGTTAAATAACTATTAGCTTATTTAACCCGATAGTTTAAAAATGCTCTTAACAATGTCGTTTGGTATTTAACGATAGATCAAGTGACGGTATTAAAGAGATTAACGCAGGAATAAAAGCCCTATCACACTGTATTGTGTATTAATGTACAGCTTGCTTCAATTCAAGAAAAAATCCCGCCATTTTGATCGTCAATTATTGGATTCACTTTGACATGTCAAGCGTAGCCAATCACATTACAGCATTATTTATTATATATGTATTTTTTTTTAAATATCTTGCTAGTATGAAACAATGAATTTGTTTAAGCAAGTAAGCCATGACAAAGCACTTTTACACTCCAAAATTATGCATAAATAAAACAGCATAATATTTTACCGGAAATATCGCGGTAGCAACACTGAATTTAGCCGTTAGTGTAGCCACTGTTAGAATAAAAAAAAATATTTAAATTTAGAATCGAATCAACAAAAAGAACAGTTTACAAGTTTGAAATGATCTTAGAATTATTAATAAAAAGACATTTCTTAAAGAAGATGTGAAATTCAAAAGAAGGGTTTAGAAAATCTTACAGAAGTTAGCAAATGAAAGAAAAATGATCTATCAGTGTAAAATTCTATTTTAGAAGGATTTTGGATGGGTGTAAACTAAAAATCCATACTCTTGTTATATTATGAATGTAAAAGTTTTTAAGAATGTATGTTTGCTTGCTCTACGTTCACGCAAAAACGGCTGGACCGATTTGGTTTCAACCAGTGCCGGCGTTAGGGGGGGGGGGGGGGGATGACAGGGCGACAAATTCTGGAGGGCGCCAAGGTCTGAAGTTGGAGGCTCTTGACTCTCCTGGTGCAAACCCTCAGAACTGTGTTTTACGCTCTGTGCATACACATATTTTTTTTTATGTAATTGGTCGGCAAACGAGCAGACTGATTACCTGATGGTAAGCAATCAGCGCCGCCCATGGACACCCGCAACGGAGGAGTTACGAGTGCGTTGCCGACCTTTTAGGGATTAGGGATTTGGAGATTTAGGGATTGAGGAGGGATTGGGATATATTTTTTTATTGAGTTTTTTTTTTAATTTCACTTGGGATCAACACAAAATTAACATTTGATATTGCTTTCCTCAAGAGGGCGCCACAATATCGCCCGGGGTGTTTTTTATATAGTGGCCCTTACGTCGGCACTGGTTTCAACCAATTTGGTATTTAGATAGGTGATACCCTGGATTAAAGTATAGGCTGCTTCTTATTATCAACATACCAAGCACGCGAAGGCTCGGGCGAAAGCTACTTAATAATAATTATGCGATCCTTAATATAGCTAATTATAAAAAGTGTTTGTTTAGATATGGACATTAAATCTGTCTACACCTTACAAATATAATAACAAACAAAAAATTCTAAATGATGTAACAAGCCACGTCAGTTTTCTCTATCTTACTAATATTATAAAGAGGTAAAATTTGTAAGTTTGTATGTAGGGGGGTAATCTTTGGAACCACTGGTTGGATTGCCAAAATTCTTTCACTACAATGTCCCTGAGTGCTATAGGCTAAACATCACTCTACGATCAAATGGAGCCGAGCAGCGGGTGAAACCGCGCGAGAGTAGCTAGTACTTTATAAATCAATCCTTCAATAAAATAGAACTTTACACATCAAGATTAAAATAATAATAATTATAATCTAAATTTATTCTTAGTCAAGTACAGAAATCAATTTAAATATACTTTAGGCATACATTAAAGAAGTTTATAACTTATAAAAGTAAGAATATGCATCATAATGGAATGGTAAAAAAATAGATGAGAGAAAGAAGATTATGAAAAGAGAATGACAGAGAAAGAGGATAGAAGAAAAGAGAAGAAGAACCCAAAATAATAATTAAAAGTACAAATGTTATGGAGTACAATACCCACTTATAATCAGAGGCAGTAGTGCGAGTTTGCTTAACTTTAAGGCGTAATAACTAAATAACGTACGGCTTTCTGACTGGTCATCTACAACATGAGCGTGGGAGAGCTAAGATACCACGGCCTCAGAAAACACCGGAGTGAAACAACCATAGCGTTGTTTCGCCGTGTGAGTGAGGTTACCGGAGGCCCAATCCCTTAATACCCGAAAGCCTTTCCCCAAAAGGCCGGCAACGCGCTTGTAAAATTCTGTTGTCCATTGGTGTTGCGGGTGTCCATGGGAGGCGCCGATTGCTTACCATCAGGTAATCCATATGCTCGTTTACCGCCCTATCTCATAAAAAAATATTAACATACCAATCAGAGAGCTTATCGCGTTACAGTGAAGAAAACTCGCACTAGGCGATCAGATATGTTTTGTTCCATGAAGTAGGAGGTAAGGGCTATTCTCAAACACCAGCTATAATAAGGACACTTGACAACTATGTCCAATACAAAAAAATCGGATTTATAAAAACATCGACAGACTTCTATGAATGTTATACCGCAATTTATTGAAAATAACGATTATAGATTAGTTTTTCAATGGTTAGATGAAAGTTACCTGGGGAGTAAATATGGCCGATTATTCAATAGTCAGATAAATGTTATCTGTGGAATAAAATTGTTGCTGTCACTGTCTTATACAAACATTCTGAAGCGACAGCATCATAATTATTTCCCAGGTAATTTTTATCTAACCATTGAAAAATCAGCCCTAAATCATTATTATTTTCATTAAATTTTGTAAGTATATCTCACGACCGTTACAATTCAAAAATATTTTGAAAGTCAAAATCATTCATTTTTTATGACTAGTTGTCAAATATCCGACTGCCAGCTACGTGCAATTAGAGAAAAATATATGAAAATTAAAAGTTTTTAACCTAAAAATTATTTACAAAAGAAATAACAGAAATAACATAGAAATATAAATTATATATAACAATTGCTTATCTTTTAACGAATACTGTTAAGAGTCCAATTTAGCTTTAACTGTACAAATAATCCGATGTATTTACAAAATGGCGTCGTTCGAAACACTGAATAACACAAAAAAAAAACAAAACACAACAAAACGCACCCACGAAAAAAGAAAATCTTAGTATGGCGGAAACTTTTCTTTTTTATCATATAATACGATTCAAATATAGAATGACTGGTAATAAGTGTGGGAGAGCCATGCTTCGGCACGAATGGGTCGGCTCGACCGGAGTGATACCACGGCCTCACAGAAAACCGGCGAGAAATAACCAAAGAGTTGTGTTTCGCCGTGTGAGTGAGGTTACCGGAAGCCCAATCTTTCCCCTACCCCAATCCATTCCCTTTCCCAAAATCTTCAAATCCCTAATCCCTAAAGGTCGACAACGCACTCCTCCGTCGTTGCGGGTGTTCATGGGCGACGCTGATTGCTTACTATCAGGTAATCCGTTTGCACGTTTGCCGACCTATCTCATAAAAAAAACGATATTTAAACACGTAATTATACTCAGAAAACATACAACTTTTTTTATTTGTTTTATTTTTATTACTAAGAGTTGATTTTTCAATAGTCAGATAAATGTTATCTGAGGCATAAAATTGTTGCTGTCACTGTCTTATACAAACATTCTGACGCGACAGCATCATAATTATTCCCCAGCTAACTTTTATCTAACCATTGAAAACTCAGCCCTAAAACAAATTACTAGGTTCAAATGCTATCGACTACACCTCTGAAATAAATTTCGTTGTAAAAAGGTTTTATTTTTATCAAATTTTTGTTTTAGTAATCTTTTTCGCGGACCCTTCTAGAAAGTGTGGCGTTGACGTAGGTTTCTGTTTGGTAGTTAGACTTGCTTCCTGTTAGCGGAGAGGCCGCCATTAAAATTGTTTAAGTAATAAAAATAAAAAAAAAACGAGCATAGAAGATAAGTTTCTTTGGGAAAGTTGTTTGATATCATGACAATCAGGTATTTAAACATCGATCACGAATTACTATTCATTCTATATACTATTTATACATTTAAACGCCACCACCAACACCCTATTATAATGTCCCGAACTTGAACCCGTATCAGAAGTTACTATGTATATATTTTTCTTTTGTCGTAGGTATGTTTAAAAAACACAAATTTCAATTACACACACACACACATGGGAAATTACACAGAACACACACATTAATCATATTAAAGTCAATCTTGATTCGACCAGCGATATTTTGCGCAATTGTTGATCCTGCTTTTGCGCAAACAATCTTTTAAACATTATATAGGGTTAAATTGAGTAATAAATATCTCGTAAACGCCTTTTTCTGCGATTTCAATTAAAATAATAACTATTATTTAAAAGATTTTCAAACTATTCCTTTATATTTTTGCCATAAAAGGTTTACTAGTTTAGAAAACAATAACACTAACAATCAGATACAACCATTCAGATAAATATTTAAATATAAAATTTAATACTCAAATCAAATCCTTACAAGTATTAAAAAAGTGAACTTTATTGTACATAAATAAAGTTCCTTTTTATTAATTATTGTTATTGTACAAATTAATTAGAATGAATTAATGATATTGATGACATATTTTTGCAGACAAAAAATCTTTAGGATACCTATAAAATATATTTAATTACATTTTAATCCACGGACTTATGTACATGGAATTTATATAATACCATATGGAGATTGGATTAAAAATAAATTCTTTACTTTGGTATGCGAAAATAATTATACTAAATAGGACAATGCCGCAAAACTTCAAGAATACCAATATTAAAACATGTCCATATTTATAAAGATTTTTTGTACACAAACTCAATGAAAAAAATCGAACAAAAACATAAATAAGCATTTATTTGAATACAAATAATGATGATTTAATCACATAGAAACTTTAATACACTTATTGCTAGATCCATAAATATTTTTGAACATGTGCAAGATATATATTTCTTGGGTTCATAGTAATATCTCTTAATCTTGACGTGAACTGTTCTGTAATCTTCAGCGCTGAAAATCGAGATAAAGGAATGGATTTCGTATGGAATGAATGAATGAACGATGAGGTTATGGTGCATGAACAAAAATGCAGCTTGCGCAAAGTTGCGCAAAGATTTAGCGCAAGTACTGAATTCTTGCGCAAAGATTTAGCGCAACTTTTGCGCAAATGATGATGATGATGATTACCGGTTAGTTTGTGAATTTTTAGGGTCTTAATTAAGTCTAATTATTTACATAGTGAAATAATATTAGGTAGGCACTTACTTTTGATATTTCTCATTCTCTTCTCGCAGTTTTTCTATTTCTGCCTTCGACTTAGATATGTGTTCGGAGTAGAACTTCTTCTCCAGCAGTAATTCTTCTTGTAGTTGCCTGTGGGATTGTTGAATTTAATTATACATATAAAAATACTAATTATTTCTACAAGTAAAGTATAAATATGGTATAAACAATTTTATGGAGATTGAACGAGCGATCCATGGTTACTATGGAGGTGGATATTTTTCAATCAGTTTGACAATAAAATTCTCTGTTGTATTATTAACTATCGCGACCATCGCTACCAGGACATGAAATATGTAGTAATAGCACATATACTACTAAACAGTTATATTTATAGCATAGTAAGTATACATTTATGTAAGTCTATGTATAATGATTCAGATGTTGCTTGCTTTGTGCACCAACTAATTTATCTCTGCATCATCCAAAGGTTTGGCTGTCAATTTATACATTTGATATCTTATATATAAAAATAAATCGCAAAATGTGTTGGTAAGCGCATAACTTAACAACGCCTGGACCAATTTTGCTAATTCTTTTTTTGTTTTGTTCGTTATTGTAAGGAGAAGGTTCTTAGGCAAAAAAAAACTTTGCAAAAATAAAGGGGAATAGCGGGAATCAACAACCCTTTCGGTGCCGTAGCAGTGCACTTGCAAAACAAATGACTGACACCGAGGTACTAGGATATCCGTGCGAAGCAGGGGCGGTCTGCTAGTTTATGAAACAATTGAGCCTGCCTTTTATACATTTTTTGTGCAAAAAGATATAAATATACATATATAAATGCCATGATGAGAGAAAACTGTAGGACTAATAAGAGCATTTCTATATCTGTTGAAAAAAAAACATATTTACCTATTAATTCCCTTCTGAGCTTCGTAAGCAGTTGCCAATTCGCCATCTTCATTTATAATATCGACGTCCGACCCGTAGTTGGAAGACGCCAGCGACTTTAAGTTCACAGTCTGTTGAGGTAGAGTTCAAAATTGAATGATTTTGTTTGGAGAGGTTTTTATAATAAAGTTTCAGTGACGGGTGACTGGAAATGGTTGTCATAGAGGGTATAAGATAAAGAATTTAATACAAGCATTGAGCAGAGTCAAAGACCCACAGGCGTTTTGCAAAACTAATGCCGATATCCCACTAGACGTTTGTATAGCGTTGACGCCGCGCTGACGCGACCTTTACTTCGCGTCGTGCCGTGACAAGCACTAACGTTAGCTGGAAGTGACGTCAACGTCAGGTTTGCGCAACTTCAACGTCAGGTTTGCGCAACGTTAACATCGGGTTTGCGTAACGTTAACGTCGCCTTTGTTGGCAACAGGTGTAGTCTTTGGCATTAGCAAACATTAGCCGTGTCGTGCGCGACGTTGAGTTTTCTGTGAGGCCGTGGTATCACTCCGGTCGAGCCGGCTCACTCGTGCCGAAGCTTGGCTCTTTCACACTTAAACCTGGTTAACTTGGAGCCGACCAATGATAGCGCTAAACGTAAAATACGTTTCGATCGCCTTAAGCAAATTAACTCGCACTTGACCCTCTGAAACTACCAACTCCAGTCTTTACTATTATGATTTTAAATGGTTTCAAATAATACAGTGTTTTTCAACCTGAATAGTAGATACTGTAAGAGAATGCCTTTAATAATAATTCTATTAATAAAGCCCAATAAAAGTGTTACACAAAATTAATTATAAATAACAAAAACAAATCGCCTTTGTTATAAAAAAGGCATAGGCGTAGAAGCATATGGTTGCTTTTCATTATTGAAAAAATTTATTCAAATAAAAGTTTTTTTTTTAAAAAAAAAGGTTGAAAAACACTAGAACTTTATATCGAAATGTATCAATCAAAACAGGAAACTTAGTCTAAACTTCATCTACAGACATACCTAAAGGTTATTTTTGTATAACTTTAAAATAATATTTTCTAACAAAACTAGTGACGTTAATATAAATTGATTTAGTAATTTGATTCTTATATACACTGGACTATTATTAGGTTATCAGTTTTTAATTGTTTGAAGAGGAGCTCGACTGGTATTAAGCCACGATTGGGGCTTTAATAATATTTATTCGGGCAATATGATAATATTGCCGTCCATATAGACATTTTATTATATTTCAACATCAAATAACCAAATCAAATTATATTACAACAAATAAAATAGGTACTTACACATTAATCTACACTATAACTACAAAATTATACATATATTATATATATACCATGCATTAACGGAACAGCAAAAGAATCGCATGAAAATAATTAAAAATTAACATAGAAAATATTTTATGACAGTTTATATGTCATTTGGAAAATAAAGCAAAATGAACTAATAATCGTTTTTATATCAAGTAGTTTTATTATGTTTGTGATAAACTCACGATTTAACTTATCACAACATAGTACAAAACAAAGTCGCTTTCTCTGTCCCTATATCCCTATTTATGCTTAAATCTTTAAAACTACGCAACGGATTTTGATGCCGGTTACTTTTAATAGATAGAATGATTGAAAAGGACTGTTTATATGTATAATAACACCCATTAAATAGTGGAAACATTTAGTATCAGCATTGTACCAGTGCCAGGCCGTGGGCGGGTCGTTTTAATATAAAAATAAAGTTTAATTTGGAAAACATCGGCTATGAAAAACCCCACAGTTTAAAAAAGAATTCAAAATAATAAAGAAAAAAGCTAGAAAAATCACTGAACAACATCAAAACTACCTACCTGTGGGAAATAACAATAAAATTATCCTAAGAAAAAAAAAACGCTTTTCGTCATGTTAAGTAGGCAAAGGTTTATAAAGCCTTATGTTAAATGCGTTAAGGTCTATTTTACAAATACTATTACAACATCGAACAACTACCATAGATTGAAATTACTCACGACATTTTTCAAAGCTTGGAACCATGGTTTCTGTGTTGCAATAAAAAAACTAATTAATTCTAGTTTAAAATACGAATAATAATAATAATCATCATCATCATCATCAGTCTAAAAGTACCAATTGCTGATTAAAGGCTTCTTCTCACATGGAGAATGTATGAGCATTGATCATCACACTTGATCAAGGTAGATTTTTTTTTTATATTTAAACACATTTTCATTTTTAACACATCTAACTTATGAAATAAAAAATTGTCCCACAAAACTGTATTCACTGTTTGACTGTGAAATCACTATAATGTTAACGATTTCAAACTTATAACTCCAGGTTTCCTCTGATCCAGTAGTGTCTTAATAAGTAATAATATACTTTTAAATAGTCATTTTTTGGTTTAAATCAGGATATTTCTAAGCTTCGGAGATAACCCTAATACTGATAATTTTAAAGGTATGCCTTTACTTTTTTTCACTTTTCCCCACAATTAGGATTTTTTTCATGTCAAGTCATGGGTGCATTAACAAACATAAAAATTCACATACACAAGCCACCCAGAATCGAACTGGCGACATGTTGCACAGCAGCTAGTTGCCCAGCCATTGTGCTAACCGTGCATTAATGTAATATAATAATTGTACTGTAGAATAACCCCGGGAATCAATCCTGAGATACTTAACTCGGTAGGTGCGCTTATAATACAATTATACGAGACAAAAATAATTCTGTACTTAAAAACTAGGTAGTCAAATTCAATTTTTTTTCTAATTATCAAAAACGATAACGTTTCTATAATTTTTGTACATACTAGATTGTGTAGGTATTGTCATGTCATGTCTTTTTATGTTAAAAATTATTAATTATTTAGTGAAAATAAAAATACCTAAATATGAGAGTTAGGTTACCGGAGGCCCAATCCTTAATCACCAAATCCCTAACAACCTACAAAAGGAAAACTACTTACTTGCTTGCCACCCTATCCCATAAAATTAGGTAATATTTGATTCAAAATTTTTATCAAAATGTCTTTTTAAAAAAAGTCTTTAATTAAGGTCTAACTGTAAACTAGGGGCTCCAACCGTCTAGTCCAGGAAAGAGTTTCATAATAAGTCCACCAGTTTTTGGTTAAAGAATAACAAACATACATCCACATCCATACATTCTCATAAACTTTAACATCTATAATATTAGTAGAAAGTAATACCTCTTTTGGCGAATAAAAATAGCTACTTCTGTGTAGTGGTTGATCCAAGAAGAGCTTCTTCGAAATTTTCACTCCAGTTAATGCCAAAGCCATTTTTTTTATTTTAGCGTTTTACCTTCTCAAAGCAATCAGAGAGAAAAAGTGACAAAAAGTAATAAATTTACTTCAATTAAACCATTACAGGCACTTTTGAAGGTCTAACAAGGATTTTTTAAAGATAAAAAGTGTCAGTCTATCGGTCAGTCCTCTTAGTGAAGCTATTTGCTCGTTCCAAATTGTAGATTCTGATGGAGAAGAACGAGCAAGAAGCTCCATGGTTACTCTTTTTCAATAAAATTATATATTACACTATTAAGTTGGTTCAACCATGTGAGTGATTTAGGAAAAAAAGGAAAATAACCTCAAGCACTGTATATTAAGAATACATAGTACTAACCAGATATATACAAGTACTTTTGAAACGTCAAAATAGAATAGTAGTCTGTCAGTCTGTTCGTCAGTGAAGCTAGGTGTTCGTTCCAAATTGTAGTTTTGAATGTAGAAAAAGGAACAAGAAACTCTGTCATTACTCACAGCGATATACAATTTAAAATTCACTTTAGCTTTATCATATAATTATATATTTTATTAATGGACATTATTTTTAACTTTCACAGCACCATGTAAAAGAAGAGTATTTTTGTTAATTATTTTTTTTTTTTTTTGTTAATCACCACTATAACTGACACTTGTTTGCCTTTACACCCAATTTGTCGAAAATATAGTAAAGATAAATATAAGGTGACAGCTAATATATTATATTCACAATAATCACAATTAAAAATGTTCATATTAACTTGACTACTTTAAAATAGTAAATGTCCAATTTTCCACACAACATTTTGTAAAAAACAAACGCAAACTGTGACACCGAATAAACATGTAAATTGTGTTAATATTCACTAGTAAAACGACGTGACTGTGCTTGCTACATCTTCCAAAATTTGGATTAATTTAATATTATTTATTATCAAGCCATTTTTGACAATAATTTCCTATTTGATCTGACTTCTTTAAGAAATCTTTTCTTTGTTCATATCTCTCTCTCTCTCTCTCTCTCTCTCTCTCTCTCTCTCTCTCTCTCTCTCTCTCTCTCTCTCTCTCTCTCTCTCACTCTCTCTCTCTCTCTCTCTCTCTCTCTCTCTCTCTCTCTCTCTCTCTTTCTTTCTTTTATAGCCATATTTTTTCTTTAAGAAAAATCACAACAATCATTTTGTCGTTGAGGACCCTCCAAATCCTCGATACGGTAGTTTCCAACTAGTCAAATTCAATACTTTTATCCCAACGTCAAAAACGATACTTTTCTATGAAATTTGTATGAAAAACTGACCTATGACGTCATAACATTTTTGCGTCAAAAATAGCTTACTTATTACTTAATAATTGTGTAGTGTACCGATCGATCGATGAATGAAAGTATAGTTATTTTTCAATATTTTATTGTATTGAAATGTCGAATTAATTTATTTTTGACCTTGGAAACTGAACATGAGGGCTGGCAAATTGTAACTCATTTTGTGTTGCGAGTATCCATAGGCGACGCCATTTGCTTACCATCAAGAGATCCGTGTTTTCGTTTGTCAAGGTAACTTACAAGAAACAACTAGGTGAATCTTAATTATCTAACAAAAAACCCAGATTAATTTCTTTGAACTGAAAAACACTAAGTTAAACTATATTTGAAATATAGAAGTTACACCAATTTAATACCATCTCATAAATAATAACTATGACGAGACAAATAACAACATTAATTAATTATAACGACTATTGTTATTATTGAAAAAACATTCCCTATATTTGATGTATTATATATTTCCCTATATTAGGATTTCGTCCTTGTCATGAGTGCATTTACAAACATACAATTTCACATACACATCACACCCAGACGTGGAACAACAATTTGTAGATCACACAAAGACTTGTTCCATACAGAAATCGAACCCACGACACGTTACTCAACAGCCTATCACCCAGCCACATCAATCAAATACAAATCTCATCAAAAATATTACAACATACACACAGACAGAATCATTGATCTACATTATAATGTTTTGTACCAAAGTTTCTGTGATGTGAGCAAACAAGACAGATAAAAATTATCTACAAAAAATCTTTGTTATCACATCCGATGTTGGGACAACTTGAATCCTGGTTATGATAAGTCTGTCTTGCATTTATGACGTGTATATATGAACATATATGTACATATGTTTACATGTAGCAGCGCGACAGTTGCCGTGTCGCGTGGCGTGGAATGCTGCTCATGAATATGGGCCTCTAGCATGGCTTGAAACTTGTCGAGTATCTCGTCAAATTATGACGTGAGTAAGTCGAAAACATAATAATTAATATTATTAATATTGGTCAGGGGCAGGGGCCATAGTATTTCCATAGTTATCATATCTACCAGTCCATAGCAACCCATACCCATAACCTTATATATTTTTACCACCACAATCCTCCATCAACCGGGGCTTGACCTTGGGTGCTCTTTTATAGTGCATACAGGGATAATTGCCGGCTAATGTCCCATTTCACTTATATTAAAGTTGTTCAACGGGCCTCTGCGAGTTGGCTTCGGCCTCTCGTACGCCTTCCAAAGGTCCGTGATTCCGTGATCCCGTGAACGGAAAACGAATATACATATGTATATTATATCAGTATAAGAACATGGTATAAAACAAAGACGCACAAACAGATGAGCTGATGGTAAGCAATCAGCGCCCTATATAGACACTCGCAACACTAAAGAGTTACGTGTCTGTGCACTGCCTTTTGGGATAAGGGTTTCGTGGATAGGGCATCCGGTAACCTTACTTACATGGCGAAACAAAACGCTGTGGTTGTTTTATGTGAGGTTGTTTTGTAGATTTGTGTATAAAATATATAATACAATAACAAATAGACATACATAGAAATATCCATGCTTCTCTCAAATATTCGCAGTGTTAGGTAGAATCGTATGTAGTTCAAAGTTTTACTACAGATTTTCCCTACAGTCGTGTTAACATGTACAAACGTATCATTTTCATTTATTATTTAGTATTTTTAATTTTGGTAACAATTTAGAAAATTCCCATTAATGGGAAATCCATAAAAATTCCTAAATACTTTCATAAATCACAAATTTTTAAATAAAATGTCAATTCATTATAATTCCGTCCGAGGAACTCAAGTTCCCATTGATGGGAAAAAATCCCATCATTGGGAAAAATATAAATATGAGTATTAACATACCTGATTAGTTAGGACACTCTTAAGCTGTATGCACTCGTCTCTTCTCCTGTCCAACTCCTTTTGCATAACATTCATTTGTTCTGAGAAAAAAAGATAGAATTAATCACCACGCTTGCTCAACGCGATTTGGCGATTTCAAACTTTCTATAATTAGATATTATTAGTCCAGGTTTGCAGACACTATATATGAGCAAAAGACACTATACTATTCTTAAATATAAAAGTGCAACATACCTATAACCTCCTTGGAGACGAGCATGCTATCTCCAGCCGCTCTAAGCCTGTCCAGGTGTTCTCGGAGCTTCTTGTTCTCAATCTCCAATTCTTCTAACTTGTAACGATCTATGTTGGGATTTGTGGGGGGCGTTGAGTGGCGGTCTGAAAAAGTTGCCCTACATTTTGATTTTCTCCTGTGTCGTGGGTGCGGTTACAAACATACAATTTCACATACACATCACGCCGAGACCTGGAACAACAATTTGTGGATCACACAAAGAGTTGTTCCGTGCGGGAATCGAACCCGCGACACGTTGCGCAGCAGCCAGTTGCCCAGCCCCCGCGCCAACCGTGCAGACTAGAGTAAAGAAACTCACATACATACATACAAACATGAACCCAGAAAACACAACCCTCTTTTTTTGGGCAGTTGTGTAAAGAATGCAACATACTCATGATCCTGTCTTCAAGGTCGGCGGCTCTCTTCGTTGTCCGCGACAGTTCGCTCTGTAACGCGGATATTCTGTTACGCATGCGCAGAACAAGACCTGCGTCTGCCACCTGTGGGAATATGAAAAAAAAACAATGCCACTTTTCGTTGCAATGTTATAAGTCAACAATGCCTTTACCGATTTGGATAATTTTCGTCTACGAGCTCAACGTACGACCTATTTTCACCGACCGGGTTTTCATCGATTGCTTGTACAAACGCTTAACTTATTTTTTTATTTGAAACTAGCTTTTGCCCGCGACTTTGTTCACGTGGAAAAGTTACTTCCTGCAGATTTTTGGAATAAAAACTATCCTATGTCCTTTCTCGAGTTCCAAACTATGTCTGTACCAAATTTCAAAGAAATCGGCTCAGTAGTTTAGGCGTGAAGAAAAGACAGACAGACAGACAGAAAGACAGACAGACAGAGTTACTTTCGCATTTATAATATTAGTTAGGATGAGTGAAGATGAACGCCCCCGCAACTACTCGTTATATATAATAACATCTGTTGCATAATTGCACCCGTGCGAAGTCGGAACGGGTAGCTATTTACGACATATATTAATCAACTTACCGGCTGTGTAGGTCCATTATGCGATCCAGCTGACCAGTTGACTGCCTCCAGCGCTGGCCGGGTGCTCTCCACTGACCTGACTGACCCGTAACCGTAGTCCTGGTGATCATGGAATCAATTTAAAAGGAGTAATAAAATAAATAAGGCTGCTGTTTGAGAGCTGTGCTACACGAATGGATCGACTCGACCGGACTGATACCGGCATGAAAAAATAGGCTCGCGAAACCTTCTTCACGAAACGCGAAAGTTTGTAAGTATAGATGATAAAGAGATGTCTGTTACTCAATTCATTTAGATACTAGTGAACGGAAATGAATGAAATTTGGCACAGAGATAGGTTATAGTCTGGATAAATATATAGGCTACAGTTTAACCTGAAAATGTGGGAGAAATTACGACAGAGGCCTGCAAAAAGTCATATAAACCTTTCAATCGTGGTTATTAAAGGCACAATAGCAAAACAATAGGTACGCGAACGCCGGCGTGCGCTTGGGGTTTAATGAATTGATATAAATATGAAGCTTATAACTTACATCCTCGACAGTAGTTTCTTGCTGTGAATTATTACTGGCGTCGGATAGAGATCTTCTGTGCTCTTTCGGAGCTGGTTTGCTGTGGAACAAAAATAAAATATTAATGACTTGCTACTCTCGTGCGGTTTCACCCGCTGCTCAGCTCCATTTGATCGCAGCGTGATGTTTTATAGCCTATAGCACTCAGGAACATTGTAGCTATCTATCAGTGGAAGAATTTTGGAAATCCGGCCAGCTGTTCCAAAGATTACACCCTACATACAAACATACAAACTTACAAATTTAACCTCTTTATAATATTAGTATAGATATAGATTACAGGTACGAAACTTTCCGTTGCCTTTTACTATAGGTAATCTTTAATCATCATCATCATTAACCTATATTGTCCACTTATGAGCAAAGGCCTCTTCTCACACGGAGAAGGTTTGAGCATTAATCACTACGCTTGCTCAACGCAGATTGGAGATTTCGTAAGTAATCTTTAGCTAGATACTTAAACATTTACAAATACAGTCGAATTTTTTATTAGAAAAACTGTAGGTCGCGGTTTTTTAGTGGATGAAGCGATTGAAAAGGAAGGTTTGTATGTAAGATAACATCCATTAAATAGTGGAGAGGTTAAGGAGCCCGCTACTCATGCATGATGGTGTGGGTTCGAAACATGTGACTTTTTCCGAGTTATATGTACTTTCTATGATTATTTAGACACCACTGTCATACGGTGAAGGTAAACATCGTGAGTAAACCTGGACTTATGATTTCTAAATATAAGTGAAATCACCAACCCGCATTGAGCAAGCGTGGTGATTAATGCTCAAACCTTCACCATGTGAGAAGAGACCATTGCTCAGCAGTGGGCACTTATAGGCTGATGATGATGATGAAATAGTGGAGAAATTTTATATCAGAATTGCACCCGTGGAAAGCCAGGGTGGGTCGCTAGTAAATCTATTACCACAGAACAGAAAATCGAGTAGAAGTGCCCCTACACTCTCTCAAAAGGAGAACCAGTGTCGCCAAACTCACATATTCGCAAATCAAATTGCCCATTACACACATAAAAAACCGCTATATTGTGTAAAATGTATAAGTGTAATTGGGTAAGAGTTGAAACGCAACTTTAGCAAATCATCTTCTAAATGTTGTTAAAAATTGAGTCTTATAACAATGAGCTAAGGTTGTTATCATTTCACATAGTATTTTCTATTCCGTAATGTATACTAATATTATAAAGCCCAAAGTTTGTTTGTTTAAACGCGCCAATATCGGGAATTACTGGTTCGATTTGAACAATTCTTGTTGTGTTTGTCAGTCCATTTGTCGAGAAAAGCTATAGGCTATAAAACATCACAATATGTAGGAGTTGAGCAGCGGGTGAAACTGCGGGGCAGTAGCTAGTAATTATTATAAGGGCTTACCTTTGCAACGAGTCGATCCTCTCCTGCAGCTCATACTGAGCAGAGAGCAGCTTCTGGCGACTCTGTCTTTCAGCTTCCAGTTCAGCATTCAACGCCTTCTTTTCCGCCTCATGCTGTTTGTCACGTTCTAGAAGAAAGAAGATATTATTTAGAACCAGGTCTTCTTCAGGTACACAGTTGGAACAGTGGCTCAACAACATCACTGCTTACCATCAGCTGGCAAACCTGCCACCTGATGGTAAGCAATGATGCAATCATTTTTATTTATGTGATAAGGTCGACTAACGAGCAGACCGATTACCTGATGGTAAGCAATCAGCACCGCCCATGGACACCCTCAACAATCGAAGAGATACGAGTGCGTTGCCGACCTTTTGGGGATTGAAGATTTGGAGATTTAGAGATAGGGGAGCGAAGGGATTGGGCCTCCGGTGGTCACACACACGGCGAAACACAACGCTATGGTTGTTTCACGCCAGTTTTCTGTGGATATTTTTATTATTGGAATAGCTAGCCGGCAACGGTCTTCTCATCCAGTTATGATTTAGTTGTCTTCAAGGCTAGAGTGAAAAGATTCTTAATAAACTACTCCGCCTTACCATCAATAAGTTACAAGGTCACAGAAAACCGGCGTGAAACAACCACAGCGTTGTGTTTTGCCGCGTGAGTGAGGTTACCGAAGGCCCAATCCTTCCCCTCCCCCAATCCTTAAATCTCCATATCCTTAACCCCCAAAAGGTCGACAACTCACTCGTAACTCTTCCGGTTTTGCAGGTATCCATGGGCTGCTGCAAGGGCTGAGCTGATTGCTTACCATCAGGTAATCCGTCTGCTCGTTTGCCGACCAATCGCATTGAAAAAAGTTATGCAATCTGTCGCGGCTTCGATTTCTGTATGATGTTCTTCCGGGTCTGAGTGTGAAGTGTGCAGTTAGGTATATTTTTGTTTAAAAAAACAAAATAATCATAAAGATATTTAAAAAAAAATTAACATGTATCAAAATTGTAAGATAATACTGTTATTACAACATATTCTTTGATAAAAAATATGCGCGAAAATCTATGATCGTAAATTAGAATTGTGGCGAAAGACTTGATATTTTTTTATTGAACTGGAGGCAAACAAGCATTCTTATCATCCTAATGGTAAGTGGTCAGCGCCCATGGACACCTGCAGCACTAAAGGAGTCACAGGCGCGTTGCCGGCCTTTTAAGAAGGAGTACGCTCTTTTCTTGGGGTTTCGAAGGTCTTATCGGTTCGGAATAACCGCTGACGAAAGATCATACCAAAGTTTTTCTGTGCAAGGTATAAAGTTTGGTACCGCAAGGGGCTCAGGTCTGTCCTGTTGGCAGAGGAGAAATACAGCGGCTGGTTATAGCCGGCACGAGTCCAACAGACTCCCTCATCACCCCCACGGTGAAGAATCTCCACGAGAATTCCCATCACGTTATCATTACAGAGTCAATATAAAACAAAGTCGCTTTTTCTGTCCCTATATCTCTATGTATGCTTAAATCTTTAGATCTACTCAACACGTAACGGATTTTGATGCGGTTTTTTTTAATAGTGATTGAAGAGAAATGTTAACATATATTACTAGCTACTCCCGCACGGTTTCACTTGCTGCTCGGCTTCATTTAATCGAAGCGTGATGTTTTATAGCCTTATAGCGCTTAGGATTATTGTAGCTATCGATCAGTGAAAGAATTTTGGATATACGACCAGAGGTTCCAAAGATTACCCCCTACATACAAACTTACAATTTTTAACTTTTTTTAATATTAGTATAGATAACATCCATAAAAAAGTGCGAGTGCAAAGCCGAAGCAGGTAAAAAATAATAAAAAAGTCGCCATCATAATAACTTCTTTTAAAAACCACAGATCTATAAAAACAAGGATGATCACCTTTCCACAACTGCGCTCGACTTTTGAACTCCTGTGACCATTCCACCACTCCAGTAGTCTCATACTGTTTCTCCTTCACATCGGATACCACTTCCGTTGCCACTAACATCTTTGTAAATACAATCCAAAGAATACACTACATCATCACAAAAAGTCACAATTTTGTCCGTCAAATTCTCATAAACTACTGACCGGATTTCGATGGGATTACCATCAACGTATAGATAGATTATTTATTTAGGTAGATTTTAGCGTTTATTTTTTAAGTTTTTTTAATATTGTGCTCGTGTAAACTCAAGGTTTCTTGAATGTTTTAGTCACATTGCAAGTTAAGATATATTGTGATCGGAAAACTGGACGAGAAAAGGCCTAGTGGTTAAATTCGAATACTTTGGTCTGGTTAGATCCACAAAGCTCTAGACTCCACAATCTTAAATGCCATCCACATCACCAGCAACAGAAGGTGGAGGGAAATAATAAGAGAGAAAGTAACTTAAAAGGATGGTCACGACCCTCAGCAATGAGGAATTTGATGCATGGAAATTCAAAGGTTTTTCTTAATAATTACATATTTAGAGGAGAAGTCAAGTTTCTACTGATTTCAATCACTAAGAGAATTTAGTTAACATCGATATCAAGAAAATTACTTGAAAAGTCTACTACATGTTTCACTCAAAAACTACTGAACGTATCCGTATTAAATTTGTCATAGAGATAGATTACAGTCTCGAATTAACACATTGACAACTTTTTATGAAAAAAACAAAAACTTAAGTAATTTTATCACTAATTTTCACTTGAAAACACGATTCAACTTTTGATATTAGTAAAAAACATCGATCCTTTTTTTAGTTTTTTTTTGCCAACACGGCTTTCGTTTATCGATGAAACATAAAAGTAATTAATAATATCTTTATCTATAGAATTATCGTGTGTTATCAAACCGAATGTTTTAGTTCATATCAGTGAATTTATCGAAAATATTACAGTTGTTGTCAATGTTGTAATTGTTTTGGTAGTGTGCGTGTGATCGAATTAAATGGTTCCCTACAAGTTTTAAATTTGAAATGTATATAAATATAGTATAATATACATACATATCATTCCATCATCAGCCTATAAGTACCCACTGCTGAGCAAAGAGGTTGAGGATTAATCACCATGCTAGCTCAAGGTCGATTACCAATGTCAAACTTACAATTAAAACTGTATCACATAGCATATTATTTTGTGTTAAAAATTTGCTAGCAATAACCATGCAAACTAAGTTTAAAAGCAATTCAATGAATGAAAGTAATTATTTTTAAGAATTTTAATATTTAGTTGAACGTTGAAATTTTGAGTAGTTTTCTTTTTTAGTTTATTATTTTAATTATCTCATAATAAGTGCAGAGTTTTATATCACAGCCAAGTACGAAAAAAATCCAATAAAATGTGTCTACCTAATTATTATTATTTTGTTAAAAAAACGTTGCCCCATATTAGGATTTTCTCCTGTGTCGTGGGTGCGTTTACAAACATATCACACCCAGAACAACACGGTTCCCTTCACGAAACAACAATTTGTGGATAACACAAAGAGTAGTTCCGTGCGGGAGCCGAACCCGCGACACATTGCGCGGCAACCGGTTGCCCAGCCACCGCGCCAACCGTGCAGTATATCACAGGAATGAAACGCCGATTGCTTACCATCAGGTAATCCGTTTGTTCGTTTGCCGACATACATCCATAAAAACCGATAAACTTACTCTATTCCATTATATCAAACCGAAGACTTGGTTTCAATTTTTTATTGTTTTCTTGTTACCAACTTTAAGGTTTTCTATGTACGCTAACGGAACCCTTAAGGAATGTCGATTGCGTCCTGTTTTGGTAAAATAAAAAATGCAAATTCGTAATCGAATTTTTAATTAACCTTACTTATTATAATTATTGTATGTAGGTTAGTATAATTTTAACAAGTTTTTAGTACCTAATTTAAACCTTGCCAAGGATATTTCGTTGTTTTATTAGGTATATTTCACTAGCGAGCCGACCCCGCTTCGCACGTGTGCAATACTGATGTTAAATTTCTGCACTATTTAATAGATGTTATTATACATACAAACATTCCCGCGTCAAAATCCGTTGCGTAGTTTTAAAGATTTAAGCATACATAGGGATATAGGGACAGGGAAAGCGACTTTGTTTTATACTATGCAGTGATGATAGTACCACTTGCTTGCGAGGAGTGCCTTAGGGCATCTATACTATTTAATATTACAAAGAGGTAAAATTTTGTAAGTTTGTATGTAAGGGGTAATCTTTGGAACCGCTGGTCGGATTGCCAAAATTCTTTCACTGATAAATATTCTATTATTCTAGCTACAATATTCAAGAGTGCTATAGGCTATAAAACATCACGCTACAATCTGAAGGAGCTGAGCAGCGGGAGTGTAGCTAGTATTTTTTTTGTGAGGGGAAAATCATCAAATGACTTCTCCCGCCCAGGGCCGGGCAGGAGGGAGTGTCAGACTCTTACTCACTACAAACCCCCCTGTTTCTTCTCCTGCTCTGGGCCGAGGTCGCGGTGCCTCATTGCGCTTACCCCTCCACCCCGGCTGAACATCAGCCCTATAGGGCCCCGTCTGTGGTGGTCTATTGGCTCTTTGAGGCGCACGCGGAACGCTACGCGCCGTACGCTCGGGTCTGGTTCTGGTCGGGCGGCGAGCTACCCTTACTCGCCGTCCGCAGTATAATATAAGGTTGGGGCGGCAAAAAAAATCGTTCACTTAACTTTAGACTTTGTTTTATACTATATAGTGATAGTATTAAAATATGCAAGTAACTATGACGCATAATATACTTAAGATTATGACATATGTGACTCAAACAGATAGAATTTCGAATAAATTGATAGGATAGTATTCACGCTTGCAATAAAGAAAGGATAAGCAGAGAAGACTTAGTCATACCACTTACAGATTTCTACGTTATTCGGTAAAAAAAACTCAAACTGTTTTGTTTGGTAAAATTAAAGTTCCATAAGTCTAGTGATCATAAAAGCTACTGTAAGCTTAAAACATTTTTATAATAACTATCGTGAGACATACTAAATTAACTAAAAATCGCGGGTTACACACTTGTGTAAATTGAGAAAAGCTCTACTAGTTTTGAACCACAGAGGGGTTCTTCCTCATGAGGAGGAAAGTAGGCTGCGCGACAACGCCGCGTCGTGTTTTGCCGAATGATTGAGGTTCCTAAGCACCCAACCCTCTCCTGTCCCTCTTCAATCCCTAATCCCCACAAGGTTGGCAACGCACTCATAACTCTTTTGGTATGCGGATGTCTATGGGCAGCGTCGATTGCTTACCATCAGATAGTCCTATATTTAAGCGTGGGAGAGCCATGCTTCGGCACGAATGGGTCGGCTCGACCGGAGTGATACCACGGCCAAACAGAAAACCGGCGTGAAATAACCACTGCGTTGTGTTTCGCCGTGTGAGTGAGGTTACCGGAGGCCCAATCCTTCCCCTTCCCAAATCCCTCCTCAATCCCTAAATCTCCAAATCCCTAATCCCTAAAAGGTCGGCAACGCACTCGTAACTCCTCCCTTGCGAGTGTCCATGGGCGGCGCTGATTGCTTACTATCAGGTAATCCGTCTGCTCATTTGCTGTTCTATTACATACAAAAAACTTACCTTCAATAGCCAATTCATAATGTTCTTTACTGCTTCTCAATTCATTAGCCAGCTTCTCACTCTCCTCCTCCCACGTAACTTTATCCTTTTCATATTTCTCCTCTAAACTTCTCTTCTCCTCTTTAAGGAGTCTATTGCTGTCTCTTTCTCTTTCCAACTCCTCTTGTAGAGTTGATATTAGGCTGTTCTTGTCGAATATGTCCACTCGGAGTGTTTTAGCTTCGATTTCTACCAGTTTTAGCAGTTCTAGTTTTGCTCTGTGGATTAAATTTTAGATGTTAGTTGATAAGCTTCATTTTTAAACTTTGCTTGAGAAATTTTCTCCTTTGTACTAGGTGCATTTGTTAACCCACAATATCACATACAATGCGATATATAAGTACGTGACATTGTTTATTGCTAAAAGCGAAAGTTTGAACATAAATGGCAGAATGAAACAGGAAACCGGCGTAAAACAAGCACAGGGTTGTACTTAGGTTCTTTTTTCTTAAAAAAATATTGCGCCGCACTTAGATTTTCTCCTGCGTCGTTGGTGCGTTTTCAAATTTTTCATTCACACATCACACATAGGCACGGAACAACAATTTGTGGATCACACAAAGTGTTGTTCCGTGCGGGTATCGAAGCCCCGACACGGTTCACATTATCCAGTTGCCCAGCCACTGCGCCAACTGTGCCGTTACAATTCGCCTTTTAAATTATGACTAGATGCATGAGAAGCGGGCTCCTTAACCTCCGGGCCACCACCACATGTCGCCGAAGCATGCGACGAATTCTCTGGCGATACCCGCCCCTCCGACACATGGGTAAGTGGAGGAACACCGGGTTGGTTTTTAGTCAGTATGAGTCTGACAGTACCCTTCGCCCTTCCCCGAAGGGATGGGTCTCCATGAGGATTTTCCAATGCGATACCAAAAAAAAGGCTTTTAGTCCACCACTCGTGCTAAGCTGCGGGTGAAAGCTAGTACTGAACATATTAAAAAAGAAACACTAACTTCAAATCGACAATCTGGGCCATGAGGACCTCGATACTCTTGTTCTTCTCCATTGCATCTCCCAGCCGCTGCTGCAGGCTGATGATCTTATTCTCCAGACCCTTGTTCAGAGACTTGACATGGTCTAGACTCCTGGCTTCTATACGAAGGCGCTTGTATTGACGACGGGCGAGGAAACGACGGATCTATGGAAGAATATTTAGTTATGGTAATTTCGTTAAGAAGGGTACTGTGTTTATATTTTCTATTAATAGGTTATGGTAGTAAACGAGCCGACCTGATGGTAAGCATCCAGTCTTGCCCTGGATTCATGGATAAATCCATCCATGGAAACATGAAAAACCAGAGGAGTTGCAAGGTGCAGAGGTTACCTGATGGTAAACAATCAGCGCCGCCCATGGACACCCGCAACAACAGAGGAGTTACGTGTGCGTTGCCGACTTTTGGGGATTAGACATTTGTAGGGATCGGAGGAGGGGAAGGATTGTGCCTCCGGTAACCTCACTCACACGGCGAAACTCAACGCTGTGGTTGTTTTATTTCACGCCGGTATTCTGTGAAGCCGTGGTATTGCTCCGGTCGAGCCGACCCATTCATGCTGAAGCATGGCTCTCCCACACTTAAATAATAGTATTTTATAACTTTAATACTTACAGCAGATTGAGCGATGATGATTTGATGTCTGATCTTCTTGGCACGTTTACGGGCGAGGTAGCCGCGCGCATACCGTTGTATAGTTATCACCTTAAAAGGAAATTGCAACTTAATAAACAGGTACTATAAAGTCTATATTTGCTTGTACACGATGACATTTTTTTGCGCTCGTGTGCATTTATGTTTGTGGTTGTGAGTGTGAGAGTGAGTGTGAGCGCGAGTGTGAGTGTGAGAGTGAGAGTGAGTTTGATAGTGAGAGCGAAAGTGACAGTGAGAGTGAGAGTGAGATTGAGTGCGAGTGTGAGAGTGAGTGTGAGCGCGAGTGTGAGTGTGAGAGTGAGAGTGAGTTTGATAGTGAGAGCGAAAGTGACAGTGAGAGTGAGAGTGAGATTGAGTGCGAGTGTGAGAGTGAGTGTGAGCGCGAGTGTGAGTGTGAGAGTGAGAGTGAGTTTGATAGTGAGAGCGAAAGTGACAGTGAGAGTGAGAGTGAGAGTGAGATTGAGTGCGAGTGTGAGAGTGAGTGTGAGTGTGAGTTGAGTGCGAGTGCGAGTATGAGTGGGAGTGCGAGTGCCAGTGCGAGTGTGAGTGTGGATGTGAGGGTGAGTGTGAATGTGAGTGTGAATGTGAATGTGAATGTGAATGTGAGTGTGAATGTGAATGTGAGTGTGAATGTGAGTGTGAGTGTGAATGTGAATGTGAATGTGAATGTGAATGTGAATGTGAATGTGAGTGTGAATGTGAATGTGAGTGTGAATGTGAGTGTGAGTGTGAATGTGAATGTAAATGTGAATGTGAATGTGAATGTGAATGTGAGTGTGAGTGCGATTGCGACTGCGAGTGCGAGTGCGAGTGCGAGTGCGAGTGTGAGTGTGAATGTGAATGTGAATGTGAATGTGAATGTGAATGTGAGTGTGAATGTGAACGTGAATGTGAATGTGATTGTGAATGTGAATGTGAATGTGAATGTGAATGTGAATGTGAATGTGAATGTAAATGTGAATGTGAATGTGAATGTGAGTGTGAGTGCGATTGCGAGTGCGAGTGTGAGTGTGAATGTGAATGTGAATGTGAATGTGAGTGTGAATGTGAACGTGAATGTGATTGTGAATGTGAATGTGAATGTGAATGTGAATGTGAATGTGAATGTGAGTGTGAGTGCGATTGCGAGTGCGAGTGTGAGTGTGAGTGCGAGTGTGAGTCTCATTGTGAGTGTCAGTGTGAGTGTGAGAGCGAGTGTCAATATGAATGTGAATGTGAGTGTGAGAGCGAGTGTGAATGTGAGTGTGAATGTGAACGTGAATGTGATTGTGAATGTGAATGTGAATGTGAATGTGAATGTGAGTGTGAGTGCGATTGCGAGTGCGAGTGTGAGTGTGAGTGCGAGTGTGAGTCTCATTGTGAGTGTCAGTGTGAGTGTGAGAGCGAGTGTCAATATGAATGTGAATGTGAGTGTGAGAGCGAGTGTGAATGTGAGTGTGTGTGTGACAGTGAGTTTGAGAGCGAGTGTGAATGTGAGTGTGTGTGTGACAGTGAGTTTGAGAGTGAGTGTGAGTTTGAGAGCGAGTGTGAATGTGAGTGCGAGTGTGAGTGTTTGTGTGAATGTGAGTGTGAGTACTGTGAGTGCGATCATAGTTTCTATGGTCACTGCCGTTAAATAAGTGAATGAAGCTTACCAACTACTAATGGATTACTTAAGAGTTGTATTTAAAAATGTATACTCACAGCCTTGACCTTCCTGCGATCCCTGTACAGTTTCCTGGCGAGGTACCCGCGCGCATGCGCTTGTAACCCGATGGCTAGCCTGCGCAGGCGCTGGTACCGGCGCCGAGCGAGCCAGCCGCGTACATTGCGCTGGATCTTAATAGCGGCACGCTTGCGACGGATCTCTTGAGCTCGTCTGAGGAGTAAGGTATTAGTACGACTTTTATTATTATAATAAAATAAGATAGTTGCCTTAGGGCTGATTTTTCAATAGTCAGATAAATGTTATCTGTGGAATAAAATTGTTGCTGTCACTGTCTTATACAAACATTCTAACGCGACAGCATCATAATTATTCCCCAGGTAACTTTTATCTAACTATTGACAAATCAGTTTTGAGCCACTAATAAGTTTTTAAGGTGTTGCCCCACTTGAAATTGCTACCGAGAAATCGAATACTAATGTCTAATAGCTTTTCTCAGTTAATTCATGTGAGTAAGTCGTAATTTGTAATACATTTGGTATGTCTCACGATATAAATCATTTATTACAAATAGAAACTAAATATCAAAAAGTTTTAAGTGTGCTAGAGCCATGCGCACGATTGGGCCGGGTCGACCGGAGTGATACCACGGCCTCACAGAAAGCCGGCGTGGAACACCAACAGCGTATTGTGTTTCGCCGTATGACTGAGGTTGCCGGAGGCCCAATCCTTACTCACCCCCAATCCCTCCCCAATTGCTAATCTCCAAAATATCGGCAACATACTCGTAACTCCTCTGTTGTTGGGTGTGTCCATGGGCGGCGCTGATTGCTTACCATCAGGATATCCGTCAGCACGTCACATAAAAAACACTTCCACTTTGTGTGCCAGTCTATCTATCTGTCTTCTAGTGAAGCTATTTATTTTACAAAAAAAAAAAAACAGATTTTTTATTAAACATTGACAAATAAGCATACCTTCTAGCAAGGAAACCTCTAGCCCTCGCTTGGAGGCCACGAATCGCGGCGACCAGTCGCAGATACTTGCGTCTTGCGACAAATCGTCGCACGCAACTCTGCACTCGAACACAATATTCCCTCTGTATGTCTGCTCGAACCTTTTCTAAGTACGCCACCTTTACGAAAATAAAATTAATTCTATTAATCTACACTAATATTATAAAGCTGAAGAGTTTGTTTGTTTGAACGCACTAATCTCCGAAACTATTGGTTCGAATTAGGTAGTTTCCTAGGTCAAAAATGAATTATTTCGACGTTTCAATACAATAACATATTGTAAAATAACTAACTATACTTTCATTCATCGATCGATCGATACACTAAGTTTTAGATATTTTAAAGCTAATTATTAAGAAATAAGTAAGCTATTTGATGCAAAAATACTATGACGTCATAACTAAGTATTTCATTAAAAATTTCATAGAAAAGTATAGTTTTTGACGTTTGGATAAAAGTATTTAATTTGACTAGTTGGAAACTACCGTATTGTACAATTCTTTTTGTGTTTCTTAGTCCGTTTATCGAGAAAGGCTATAGAGAAGCACAAATTGTTGTTCCGGGTCTGTGTATGTGGAATTGTATGTTTGTAAACGCATCTACGACACATGAGAGAAAAATAGTGTGGAGCAACGTTTAAAAAGATATTACCTGTCCAGCTCTGAAGAATATCTTGGTGGCACCGAACTGGTATTTATCTGGATCCTTGACATGTCTAGTTAGTATCCGGCTGCAAGTCGCCTTGATGTTAGCGCGGTCTATCTCACGGTGGAGGCAGAGGAGACGGTATCTGGAAGAGGGTAGAATGGGTAAAGAAATAAAAAGCTGTGTCACAAGAATTATATGAAAATTAAATCGTTATTTTATCTCGAAATGATAATAATTAGTGTGTGAGAGCCAAGCTTCGGCACGAATGGGTCGGCTCGACCGGAGTGATACCACGACCTCGCAGAAAACCGGCGTGAAATAACCACTGCGTTGTGTTTCGCCGTGTGAGTGAGGTTACCGGAGGCCCAATCCTTCCCCTCCCCCAATCCCTCCTCAATCCCTAAATCTCCAAATCCCTAATCCCTAAAAGGTCGGCAACGCACTCGTAACTCCTCCGTTGCGAGTGTCCATGGGCGGCGCTGATTGCTCACCATCAGGTAATACGTCTGCACGTTTGCCGAGCTATTACATAAAAAAAAATTCATAGCTCTGTCGAAAATGTTTTTCCTACAAATTAATTTAAAAATTAAAATAATAAGAAAAACACAGCACAAACATATATGAACAGCAGCATATAAATAGAACTTTTACAACTTTAAATTCTATTAACTGCACGGTTAACTCGATGAACTCAATGTCGCGAAATTGTTTTGACACCGGGGAAAATTGTGTGTGATTAAAAATAAAACTTTCAAGAGAATAAATATTATAGAATTAACATTTCTATTATTATAATTTATTATATATAATTAATTAATATTGCAGTACGGCCGACTTATCTTGGCGAGTCTGAAGTAAGCCGTTTGTCTGCGCAATGGATCTTTTAGGAACAAAATTGTGTACTGCGCAGCTAATCGGCTAACTTCAGACTCGCCAAGATACGTTGGCGGTATTGTAGGCTTTTTTATGATCAACATTTCTTTGAATTTACTGCCTGACTCAGAGACAAGGATATACCTAATTAGAACTTACCTGGCGAAGAAATCTTGGTACAGCCAACGAGACGGGAAGCCCGCAGCTGAAATTCTGATCGTCTCCAACACACCGCAAGCTCTGAAATAAGTCAAAAAATTTATTATCATTTATAATTATAGTTTTTTTTATGTTTTATGCACTTACAGTTTCCAACTAGTCAAATTCAATACTTCTATCCAAATGTCATAAACGATACTTTTCTATGACATTTGTATGAAACACTGAGTTATGACGTCATAGTATTTTCGCGTCAAATAGGTTACTTATTTCTTAAAAATTAGCTTAAAAAATATCTAAAACTTAGTATAGGTGTCAGACTCCTACTGACGAAAAACCACCCCGTTCCTTCTACTGCTTTGGGTTGGGGCCGCGGAACCTTATTGCGCTTGCCCCCACAACTCTAGTTGAACATCTGTTGGACCCCATCTGTGGTCGGGCTATCGACACGCAAGTTAGTGAATGTCTAACGTATACCAAACGCGGTAGGGCGCTCGCCCTATTTCTCAGAAGGTTGAAAGTTCGTGCATACATGTAGATATGGCGCATAGTCAGTCGAACCATTCTCCATATAAAAAAATATCTGGCGTAAACTTAGCGCAAGTGGCGCAAATTTAAACCAAATTGCGCTAAAATTTGCGCAAAATATATACATCCTAACCCACTACAAAACAAGATAAAACTCAGCTTTCCTCACATAAAATCGTGTGTTTCGCAGTGTAATTGAGGTTGCCCTAAGCACAATACCCTCCATTCTCATCCATTCTCAATCTCTGTATCCCCAAATGCTGTGCGGAACCAGGGGTAGATGGTGGATTGACTCCCGGAAAATACTCGAACAAGGGTTAATTAATAACGTTAACGATTTAAGTAAAGCGAGTGAAAGAAAATATTCAAATTCTTCATAATTTATAGATTTTGTGACAAGCGCAAGTTGATGTTCTGAAGAAATCATCAGGCGCACGAACAACTCCTATGGTTTTGCAGATGTCCATGGGTGACGCTGATAGCCTACCATCAGCTAGATGTCCACGAGTGACGCTGATTATTTTATTACTACAAGTTAACCAATCGGTTCATTTACATAAATAAAAACTACTACTACATCTTACCTGAGCTGGTTAACGGCTCTAGCGCTATCGAACATGAATGGCTCCTTAGTGTCGTTGGGTTTGATACACCGCACGTAATGCGGCGTGGTGGCCGACAGTGTGGACATTAGCGCTGATAGTGACGCGCGGAATTGAGAGCCCACTGTTTGTTTCTGGCCGGACGTACGGCGGGGGGGTTGCTGGGGAATGAAATGTATTTACTTAAAAATGGTCTTAATTTGTCAAAGGTAGGTTATATTGGCTATGTGCAAAGCGAGTAGTGGCGGACAGATAACGACCGCAGCGCTCAACACGGCAGAAATTGGAAACGAATGCGTATGATCTCACAGAAAACCGGCGTAAAATAACCACAGCGTTGTGTTTCGCCGTGTGAGTGAGGTTACCGGAGGCCCAATCCTTCTCCTCCCCCAATCCCCCCTCAATTCCTAAATCTCCAAATCCCTAATCCCTAAAAGGTCGGCAACGCACTCGTAACTTCTCCGATGCGAGTGTCAATGGGCGGCGCCGATTGCTTACCATCAGGTAATCCGTCTGCTCGTTTGCCGACCTATACAAGAAAAAAAACCTAACTGCGGAAGCCCGGCAACCGGCTAAAATGTAGATCATTTTACAATAATACTCACAGTAAGACTGCCCAATGGCACAGAAGGCGTGGTCCTCCTCTTGGAGGGTGGTGGCAGAGTATTTGACGAGGGTTGCTCACAGCTCCGGTCAGCAAACATGGCGTGTATCAGCCTACAACTGGTGGCTGTCTTTATACACTCCAGTTGTTCTTCTGACACTGTATCTCTGTTCTTTTCAAGGAAACCACCTGACTGGTACTCGACGTTGTCAGCGAAATGCTTTATAATGAAGGCTGGAATTAAAATAGTCATGTCAATCTCTTGGTAAAATATTAAATGAGACGAATGGGACGGCTCGACCGGAGTTTTTTTTATGTAATTGGTCGGCTAACGAGCAGACGGATTACCTGATGGTAAGCAATCAGCGCCGCCCATGAACACCCGCAACGGAGGATTTACGAGTGCGTTGCCGACCTTTTAGGGATTAGGGATTTGGAGATTTAGGGATTGAGGAGGGATTGGGGGCGGGGAAGGATTGGGCCTCCGGTAACCTCACTCACACGGCGAAACACAACGCTGTGGTTGTTTCACGCCGGTCTTCTGTGAGGCCGTGGTATCACTCCGGTCGAGCCGACCCATTGGTGCCGAAGCATGGCTCTTATACACTTGGATCACATGGAGTTATACCACGGCCTCGCTGTATAATACCGGCGTGAAACGAACACAGTGTTGTGTTTCGCCGTGTGAGTGAGGTTACCGGAGGCCCAATCAATTCCCATCCCCAATTCCACTTCCAATTATCAAATAATTAACAACCTCAAAAGACAACGTACTTTTAACTCTTTTGGTGTTGCATTGATTGCTTACCATCAGGTAATACGTTTGATAGTTTGCAGAACATTCCAATAAAAATATATTTCGTTCTGTGGTTGTTAATGTTATATTAATTGATGAATTTATTAATTTACAATTAATGCTATTCTAAGATATATTTTTGGAAACTAATTTTTATACTTTTTTCTGATTTATTTTTGTTCTATAGAAAATGTGAAAATTATACCTGCACCCTATATTTTTTTTAATATCATAAATTTTATTTAAAATTGTACTTTTATTCGAAAACAGACAACAATTACCACGCAAAGTGTCACGACTTTGATTCTCGTACGGAACAACACTTTGTGTGATCCACAAATTGTTGTTCCTGGTCTGGGTGTAATGTGTATGTGAAATTGTATGTTTGTAAACGCACCCACGATACATGACAATTTATTTATTTATTTATTTATCTAAAAAAGGTACACCAACAGCTTCTGTATATAGCAAATTAAATAAAACAATGAAACATTAGGTTTTGGCCTTATACAGTCGTCAATTACAGGTAACCAGCATTCTTAAAAATAAAGTGATAACCTAGTTAGAGTAAGAACGAAACTATCTATTACAATAACATAATTAGAATTATATTAAAAATATTATAACAACATTAGAATTGCAATATAATTAAACAATGAAATGGAACATTAAATTAGAAAATAAGTAGGTAGGTATACATAAATGCAAGGACAAAACCGTAGTGCAGGGTAAAGTTTTTTTTAAAATTAATAAACTTAACTCCTTCAACTTACCAGCGTTCCCGAACCTCGGCTTCATGAAATGGTGATACCCAGCACACGCCTGATGCAGCTTGGCGACGAAGCCAGCGTCGCTACCTTGAGGCACTCGGCACTGCTCGTCAAGTAACGCGAGAACCCCCAACTTATCTTCAATCAGGTCTATACACGGTTGGTTGTCATAGAACTCTATCATTTCCCACGATATTTCTTCCTGTAGCGGAATTAAAGAAGAAAAAATATGTTTCATATGAAAATGGTACATTTCTGAGTCTGTTGTTCTTTCTTTATTTATGACTAGCTACTCTCGCATTATTTCACCCGCTGCTCGGCTCCTACAGATCATAGCGTGATTTTATATAGCCTATAGCCTTTCTCGATAAATGTACTAACTAACAGACACAAAAAGATTTATTCAATTCGAACTATAAGTTCTGGAGATTAGCGCGTTCAAACAAACAAACAAACTCTACAGCTTAATAATATTATCTTTATATATAGGTAAAATATATAAAAATGGATCGCAAAATGTGTTGGTAAGCGCATAACTCAACAACGCCTGGACCAATTTCGCTAATTCTTTTTTTGTTGTGTTTATTATTGTCAGGAGAAGGTTCTTATCACAGAAAATATTAGAAAAGTAGAAGGGAAGATTAGGAAAAATATGACTCTTCGATAGCGAGATAGTTGGACCCGTACAAAGCGGGGGCGGGCCGCTAGTAGTATATGTGTCGAAGCGATGATTATTTAAATTGAATTTTGAAGGAAGTTTTATCACAATTAATCGGACGAGGGTACAATGAATCGTACTCTGGCGGAACGTCAAACTGACAGTTCTGCGTGCGCACTATGGTGGAGAGCGAGCGCTGTGACTGTCATAAGAGACGGATCGCCGACGTCCGTTATTTTTGTAATTTATTCAGCCTGATTATAAAATCCTACGCCCTGCGATGGACTGTGAAGACGATGATCGGGATGTTGATGTTTGTTCGAACCCCCCGGTACTTTCATATGTATATAAATAATGATGATTCAATGCGCTTATCTGCGGACGAATTGATTCAAATTAAACAATTCTTTTTTTGTCTATACTAATATTATAAAGAGGTAAATTTTGTAAAATCGTAAGTTTGTAATTTTGTATGTAGGGGGTAATCTTTGGAACCGCTGGTCGGATTTACAAAATTCTTTCACTGATAGATAACTACACCGTTCCTAAATGCTATAGGCTATAAAACATAACGCTACGATCAAATGGAGCCGAGTAGCGGGTGAAACGGAACGAGAGTAGCTAGTATGGAATAAAGAAACTCACCTTAATATACTCATCCTGTTCCAGCTTGAAGACATGAGAATTGAACTGTTGTTGTAGTTTTTCATTAGCGTAATTAATACAGAACTGCTCGAAGGAATTTATCTCGAATGTTTCAAAACCGTAGATATCTAGGACACCTGTTGATGGAAAGAAAAAATTGTATAAAACTTTTTCGGTACTAAAATTAATATTAGAAGTGTGGAAAAGCTGTGCTTTGGCACGAATGGGTCGGCTCGACCAGAGTGACACCACGGCCTCACAGAAAACCGGAGTGATACCACGGCCTCACAGAAAACCGGAGTAATACCACGGCCTCACAGAAAACCGGAGTGATACCACGTCCTCACAGAAAACCGAAGTGATACCACGGCCTCACTGAAAACCGGAGTAATACCATGGCCTCACAGAAAACCGGAGTGATACCACGGCCTCACTGAAAACCGGAGAAATACCACGGCCTCACAGAAAACCGGAGTGATACCCCGGCCTCACAGAAAACCGGAGTGATACCACGGCCTTACAGAAAACCGGAGTGATACCACGGCCTTACAGAAAACCGGAGTGATACCAAGGGCTCACTGAAAACCGGAGAAATACCACGTCCTCACAGAAAACCGGAGTAATACCACGGTCTCACAGAAAACCGGAGTGATACCACGGCCTCACAGAAAACCGGCGTGAAATAACTACAGAGTTGTGTATCGCCGTGTGAGTAAGGTTATCGAAGACACCGTAATCCCCAAACTGCCGGCAACGCACTCTTAAATTCTCTAGTGTCTCGGATGTCCGTCTTACTATAAGGTAATCCGTATGCTATATGCGTATGCTATCTGGAAAGGTTAGGAGGGGGAGAAAAACCACATTATGGGCTTCAGAAACGCTAAGGACAAGTGTATTCTGAGCCCGTGAAGTGTTATAAGTGTCCATAGGCGGTGCCGATTGCTTACCATCAGGTAATCCGTGTGCTTTCTGCAGCAACTGGAATAGGCCATTACGGGTTCCAGTAGCCCTAAGGAGTTATAGTGTATTTCAAAGGCCGTGGTATAACTGTCAGGCCAGCCCAGTAATGCCATAGCATGAGATTTCCACGTAGATATTAACACAATGTCGTGGTGGCCCGGAGGTTAAGGAGCCCGCTTCTCATGCATGAGGGTGTGGGCTCAAAACCTGGCAAGTACCAATGTGACTTTTTCCGAGTTATATGTACTTTCTGTGATTATTTAGACGCCACTGACATATGGTGAAGGTAAACATCGTGAGGAAACCTTATAATTTTTAATTATAAGTTTGAAATCGCCATCCGCATTGAGCAAGCGTAGTGATCAATGCTCTAACCTTCTCTGTATGAGAAGAGGCCTATGCTCAGCAGTTCCCTTATAGGCTGATGATGATGATTAACACAAAAATCTCACCAATAAAATGTTTCTTGGCATGTCCTGTATCCAAGGCCCTGTTGACGGCGTGGACCAGCCACGCGAACAGCTCGCCGTACATTCGCTTGGCGAGCGCGTCACGAGCGAAAGAAGCTCGCTGGACGTCCATACGGGATACTATTACCTGGTGATTTGAGGTTGAAATTAGTAATGTATGTGTGAGTGAGTGAGTGAGTTAGTGAGTGTGTGAGTGAGTTAGTGAGTGAGTGAGTGATTGAGTGAGTGAGTGAGTAAGTGAGTGAGTGAGTGAGTGAGTGTGTGAGTATGTGAGAGAGTGAGTGAGTGAATGAGTAAACAAATAAGTGAGAGATATTATGTGTACGTGGCTGTATGTAATCGCTTAGCGAGCGTGTTGCAGGCGGATGAACGCACTGGCCCTAATGGCCGTCCATTTGTGATGCTATTATCTAGTCATTAGAGATTGAAATTTATAGATCGAGGGATAGTGAGTGAGTGATTAATTGAATAAGCGTGGGAACAAGTGACTAAGTTAGTGAATGAGTGAATCAACGAATGATTGAATTACCGAATAAGTGGTGATTAAGTGAACGAATGAGCGATGAGTGAGTGATTGAATGAATAAGTTTTAGTGTATGTATATTGTCTATAACTGTGTATCTTATGCATCCATTCGGGATGTGATTACATTGATGATATTTATGATTGAACTAAAATTTATGTGATGCAGGGCTAGTGATTTAATGATTGATGGAATGAGCTAGAGTACGAGCGAGTGAGTGAGCGAATGACTGAATGAGTGAGCAAAAGAGAGTATATGACAATGAGTGGATACTATTACCTGGTGGAATGGAGTGGGCTTAGAGATATATTTATAGAAAGAGTGTCAAAGAACTAAAGACAAATCTTTAAGTTTGCAGAATAATCAGTTAGCTTAAGGAAAATAGAAGAAGAAAGGGATAGATAGAGATATAGAAAGAAAGAGACAGAGTACAACAAGGTTTATTTAAGCATATCAAGTAAATAACTAAGATCTAAATAAACGTTACCTCATGTGCAGATGCGATTCTCCTGTGCGTGAGCCATCGAGACAGTTCCGCGCGGGATATGCCAAGCAAGGAGCATACTATAGCCAGATGCTTGTCTGTAGACTGAAAAAGAACGTTGCAGTATAGTAATAAGGTCGGTTTTTGTTTCACATCTTATCATCAGCCTATGAGTGTACACTGCTGAGCAAAGACCTCTTCTTACACGGAGAAGGTTTGAGCATTAAACAGAACACTTGCTCAAGGTGGATTAGCGATTTCAAAGATCACGATCACTATGTTTTCTTTCAACGTATGCCTGTGGCTGTGGTGTATTGATATAAGTATGAGTGATACCACGGCCTCACAGACACCGGCGTGACAGAGTTGTGTTTCGCCGTATGATGAGCGAGTATACCGGAGGCCCAATCCCTTCCCATTCCTTAAGTATCCAAAACCCCAAAAGGTCGGCAATGCACTCGTAGCCCTATCCCTTCCCCTCCCCCCTCCGCTTCCCAATCCCTAGTCCCCAAAAAGCTGGCAACGCACTAGTAACTCCTCCGTTGTGGGTGTCCATGGGCGGCGCAGATTGCTTACCATCAGGTAATCCCTCCATTTGCCGACCTATTACCATAAAAAAGAGTATTGAGTAATGAATGAATGAATGAATGAATGAATGAAGAGTAATGAGTATTGCACTCACATTAATATAAGCACCATCGTCTGTGTCCTGGGTGGGCGGTGCGTCGGGATCGCACGCATGTAACTCTACATTACCCAGGTGGAGAATGGTTGCTAGGATGCGGAACATATCTTCTTGCTCTGTCTCTGTCACTCCTGTCGAGTTAGAGAGGGATGGAAGTTAAAATGAATTGAAATTATATTTGATGCTTTTATATATTGAAGCTATCTAAATTCACAAATAAATGACAAAATTATGGTGGATCGCGGACCAAGAGCCTACAGCAGGAGAAGGAATGAGGGGGGGTTTAGACAGAGTCTGACACTCCCTCTCATCTCACTTTGGGCGAGAGAGAGAGTTTTATATACCGATATTTTATTTGATTATGATTTTCCAACGTCAATAGAGGGTGATACGACTAGTTTCAAGCTACGTCAGGGCTCATAGGAATAAGTAACAAGAGTTAATAATCTAATTTCAAGAAATATTTTTTTGCTAAAACCCCAGAGAGACCGGCAATGCAATTATAACGCCTTTGATGTTATTTTTTTATTGATTATTATTTTTATTTATTATTATTTTTTTATTTATCATCATACAATTACCATTACAGCTAGCCAATGCGGTAAATGCGCCTTAACTAGTACTTAATTTTATTTAACTATTGTTCGTAGGCAACGCCAACTGCTTACCATCAGGTCATCCATCTTTTCAATTGCCGATCACAATAATCACGGACAATGAAACCTTCGTTCTAAATTGAAACAAACTAAAATTTCTCATTTACATAATTAAAGTAGCTCTTTGCCCTCGACTTCATTCGCAGATCTCAATAAATTATACATGTATTAGAAAAAACCGCATCAAAATTTGTCGCGCTGTTTTATAGATCTAAGCGAACATAGAGACAGACAACGGGAAGCGTCTTTGGTTTACACTATGTTAATAATAACAACATAAATCAATCTACATATTGTATTGTGAAATCGTCTCTATCACTTATAAATTAAGGATAATATCCCAATAACTTACCTAAGGTAGTTAATGCACTTCTAGTTTCGTTGAAGGTGCGTAGGTCATCAACCCCGTCTATATTTGGACTGCCGCCTTGGTTCAAATAATGGAACGATTCTTGATGATCTGCAAACATAATGTACAAAAATCATTATAATACAAAGTAAAATATTAAAGTATTAATATAAACTTAAAAAACTAAGCAATAAGAAAAAAATATACACCAAACAAAGCAAAATTAAGTGTGGGAGAGCCATGCTTCGGCACGAATGGGTCGGCTTGACCGGAGTGATACCACGGCCTCACAGAAAACCGGCGTGAAACAACCACGGCGTTGTTTCGCCGTGTGAGTGAGGTTACCGGAGTCCCAATCCTTCTTCCCCTCCCACAATCCTTAAATCTCCTAATCCCTAATCCCTAAAAGGTCGGCGACCGCACTCGTAACTCCTCGCCTTGCGGAGGGTCGTCCTTTTTTGTGATAGGACGGCAAACATATAGTACAGCAAAAAGTGCATTGGGTATTATCTCCTGGCTCCCAAACCAGGTTATAACCTGTGACTTGGGGACCAGTGATTCCATAGGGGTAACCAAAGAAGATAAAAAGTAATACATAATTAATATACATCCTATTACCTGATGGTAAGCAATCATTGCCGCCCATGTACACCCGCAACAACAGAAGAGATACGAGTGCGTCGCCGACCTTTTGGAGATTAGGGTTGCGGATATTTAAGAATCGGGGAGGGATAGGGGAGGGGAAGAATGGGGCCTCCAATATCATCACTCACACGGCGAAACACAACGCTGTATTCGTTTCACGTCGGTATTATGTGAGGTCTTGGTATCACTCCGGTCGAACCGACCTATTCATTCTTTTTCCGTGCTTAGGAATCTTTGCTCTCTATTTTTTTTTTACTATAAAGTTCGTGAGACATTCTAAATTAATAATTTTGACGAGCTACCTACTCGACTAGTTTCAAGTCATGCTAGAGGCCCATATTCATGAGCAGCATTCCGCGAAACGCGACCTGAGTCACGTGTATCTTGGAATGATCTTCCGGCGGCGGTATTCCCGAACCGATACGATCTTCAAACCTTCAAGAAACGAGCATATTCCTTCTTAAAAGGCCGGCAACGCACCTGTGACTCCTCTGGTGTTGCGGATGTCCATGGGCGGCGCCGATTGCTTACCATCAGGTGATCCGTCTGCTCGTTTGCCACCTATTCCATAAAAAAAAAATATTAGCTTAGATGAATCACTTACCTAACTGTAACTCAGGCATTTGCGCTGCAGCAGCGCAGAGCTGGTAAAATATATGGTAGTTCCTTTCTCCAGCGCTCTGGTAGACCACCCTGGACTTCTCCAGAAGGTAGGTGCGCATACTGGCACCGGAAATCCGGTATACATTGTCGAAATGTATCTCTATGAATTTTCCGAATCTTGAGGAGTTGTCGTTACGCGTTGTTTTTGCGTTTCCTATCGCCTGAAACAAAAATGAAATTATATATTTGTTATATTCTATATGTACACACGAGTTTTTCTTATTTGACCTTGACCTTTGACTAAATAGTAGTAGAAATAAGACTGAAAACCTACACTTATCTCTTGAACTCTCTCTGGCATTGCCCTTTACTTCCACGAAGTATAGTGACGTAGCCAATACCGTTTTACCAGCACCAAATTCATTACAAAACAGATACACAAATTTTAACTTTCAAGTTCGACATTAACTGTTTACTGCTTTGACCTTGTTGACTTTGACTTTTCATGTTGAAAGTCAAGGTGAAAGATTTATGACTTGATTTTGAACTTTACTTTGTCCTTGATTTTGAACTTGATAATGAATTGATTTTGAACTTTACTTTGACCTTGATTTTAAACTTTACTTTGACCTTGATAATAACTTGATTTTGACCTTGAAAATCAACCTTACCTCCATAATAGGACTGGAAGCCAGCACTTTCCTCTCGACCTGCGTCTCGCTGGCATTGCCCCCGACTGCAGCGAAGTATCGCATGGCGTATTTGGCTGATACAGTTTTACCGGCACCGGATTCACCGCTCACTAAACATAGAGAAATATCACGTAACATTAATGAAATTAAGGAACATTTTTCCCTGAAATAGAAAGTAAGTTATGTGTGCTCATAGTCTACAATGTTTCAATTGGACAGTTGCCTAGGTCAAAAAAAAAATAACGTTTCAATACAATAAAATATTGAAAAATAGGTACTTTTATTCATCGATATTTCGATACAACAAATTTTTGATATTTATTTTTTAGTTGTCAATTTTTAAGAAATAAATAAGCTATTTGATGCCTTCAAAAGTATGACGTCATAATTGGGTAGTTTCCTAGGTCAAAAATAAATTAATTTCACATTTTAATACAATGAAATATCGAAAAATAACTATTATTTTATTCGTCGATCTGTTAGGACGGGGCTGGTGTTAGTCTTTTAAAAAAAAAACCACTGATACTGCTAACACTACTTTAATGAAAGAACTTTAACTTCACAAGGATTAGAGTAAAGGATTGATAAACTAAATTTTAGATATTTTTAAGCTAAATTTTAAGAAATAAGTACTCTATTTGACGCAAGAATACTATGACGTCATAACTCAGTTTTTTTTATGTTATATGTCGGCAAACGAGCAGACGGATTACCTGATGGTAAGCAATCAATGCCGCTTATAAACACCCGCAACACCAAAGGAGTTACGAATGCGTTGCCGGCCTTTTGGGGATAAGGGTTGCGGATGTAAGGATCGGGAAGGGATAGGGGAAGGGACGGGATTGGGCCTCCGGTAACTTCACTCACACGGCGAAACACAACACTGGGTTGTTTCACGCCGGTATCCTGCGAGGCCGTGGTATCACTCCGGTCGAGCCGACCCATTCGTGCCGAAGCTTGGCTCTCCCACACTTTTCATACAAATGTCATAGAAAAGTGTCGTTTTTGACATTTGGATAAAAGTATTGAATTTGACTAATTGGAAACTACCGTATTAGAATCATATCACATGATAAGCCTTCAGGTAGCCCACTGCTGAACAAAGGCCTTTTTTACACTGACAAGGTTACCAGTCATACCTTCACGGCGAGAGATGAGGTTTTTTCTCAGCAATGGGGACATATAGGCTGATGATGATGATGTAGCCTCACTGATGGGCAAACTGACGAATTGAAATTCTAATTTTTCTTTAATTATACGAACTATACATATACAGTTTATTGAAAAAATGTATTTGACTTATGATTTTTAGACTAACTATGCTATCAATTGTGACAGTGTTCCTATTAAGCAACAAAACTCACCAATAATACTCTGATCTCTCCTCTCTCTTTCTAGCTTCGTGTAAGCCTCTTCTGAGACGGCGAATATGTGTGGGTCTAGGTCACCCATCGCCTGGCCACGGTAAGCCATAATCGTTTCATCGCCTGCGTACAAAAATTGTATTAATATTAAGTAAATACAATTGAAGAAAAACTATATATACAAGTTAAATGCTTCCAAAAATAATTTAAATGTTTCCATTTTGAAAAATTGCAATGTGGCCGAAGCGACCTGTATTTGTTCAACGGGTCGTTAGTTCGATACCCACGATGCAATTCTTTATGTGACTGTTCCAACAATTTTTTATTTAATTTAAAATGTAACATAAAATTAAACCCCGGTTTCCGAAAGACCGATCAATGTTAAAATCAAGTCATCTGATTGGTTGACTGAATTATCAACAACCAATCAGATGACTTGACAAGAGATTTAACAGGAGATTAGTTAATTTTAGCGTTGACAAGCCTTTCAGAAACCGGTTGTAAATAATTTAAATCCTACCGTATATTGGTAAATCGTAGTAGGGATTGATTGCAACTAAAACGATCCCACAGTATGTGTAGATGGCGTTGCGGTCGCAGAATCTGTGGACAAAAATCGTTGATAATATTTTTCATACTTTCATATCCGTAATGGTTTAAAACTAAAGAAAATTGTCCGGAGTCCGGTCCTGTGGACCGGAGGTTGTGAAGTTCCTTTCTTAAGCATGAGGGTGCGAGTTCGGAACATGTTTGACCAGTACCGATTCGGTTTTTTTCTTAGTTATATTGTTCTAAGATTATTATTTATAAAGTGAAGGTGTGTTTTTAAGGGGTGCTAGTATAAAATTACTTTGCCCGCCCTAAATTGAGCGCGAGGTAGTGTCAGTCTTTTACTGACTTAAAACTCCGTTCCTTCATCATCATCATATCAGCCACAGGACGTCCACTGCTGAACACAGGCCTCCCCCATTGACTTCCAGATAGGCCGGTTGGAAGCGACCTGCATCCAGCGGCTTCCTGCGACCTTTAATCAGGTCGTCTGTCCACCTTGCGGGTGGACGTCCTACGCTGCGCTTGCCGGTACGTGGCCTCCACTCGAGAACCTTTCTGCCCCAGTGGCCGTCAGTTCTACGCGCTATGTGCCCTGCCCATTGCCACTTCAACTTACCAATCCGCTGGGCTATGTCGGAAACCTTTGTTCGTTTGCGGACATCCTCGTTTTTTTTTTCTTTCGCCTCGCCCTGGACGGGAGATTCACTCATGTGCTGATTTTCCCCTCACAAAAAAACTCAATGTCGAAGAAACAGATGGCAGGACCACGCACAATGGTAGGTACATATAATGTTTAAACAAGTGGTTTGTAATATGGTATGCATGTGACGAAAACAGATTACTTGAAATCAACTTGTATTGTTTTCAATTTCATGTCGGATCCCTGTCTTATTTATGGGATATATTGACGGATTACCGTAAGCGATCGGCGCCATCTATCCACACTCGTAATACCAAAGGAGTAACTATAAGCGCTTTCACGACCTTTTGCGGATTATTAAGGGTTTAAGGAGGTTCAGGGTTTTGAGGATTGAGGATTGCGTCTCCGGTAATCTCACTTACAAAGCAAAACACAGTGTAAGTGTTGTTTCACGCCGGTATTCTGTGAGGACGTGGTAACGTGGTACTCCGGTCGAGCCAGCACCATTCACATCGAAGCATGGTTACGCTGTGTTTCGCCGTGTGAATGAAGTTTTTGGAAGTACGACTTCTACGACTTCTACTCCACCCATTCTTTCCTAAATCCCCAAAACCTCGAAACCCTTATCCCTAAAAGGTCTGTAAAGCGCTCGTAACTAGCCTGGTGCGGTGCTGATCGCTTAACAACAAGGTTATCCGTATGCTCATTTGCCATCCTACAACATTAAAAAAGACGCGCCCCCTATAGGTCTGCATAACTATACATCTCTTTCTACCCCTTCTAACAAGAAACGCGTGATATTAAAGATAAATATCACATCACAAACATCACTTACAAAGTAATCATAGTAGTGATTTAATGCAACAACTATTGTAGTGGTACTACCGTTATCAGTACATTATCTGCGCACGCGCATGACTCAATGATTTCGTCATTTATTAGCTTTGTACGGAAACCATTGGTTTATCGGTCACTTTATATTGTGCCCCATTTATCCTAAGAGTTAGGAAATCCATAATATTATGTTTTTTTTATGTGATAGGATGGCAAACGGACAGACTGATAAAATGATGGTAAGCAATCGGTGCCGCCCATAGACAAAAGATGATTTTGGGGATTAGAGTTACGGAAATTTAGGGATGGTGGTTGGCAGTGGTTGGATAAGAAGAACTGAACATCGAGCTCAGCGGCGTGCAATTGGGGAGACCTATGTGCAGCAGTGGACGACATCAGGCTGATGATGATGATGATGATAAAATTTAAGGATTGGGGATAGGATGACAAATTGGGGCTTCGTAACCTCATATTTCTATAGTTTTTCGTAATCACTCCATAGTACAATATGTATGCTGATCTTTAAAACTACGCAATGGATATAAATGCGGTTTTTGAGTATAAATTAAAACAGTAATGGTTTGTAGTCAGTAAGTGTTTGACTGAGAAAATCATCGATCATCAAATGACCTACATTGAGAAAAGTCTTAGAATGATTACTGTAATCAAAAAATAATAATCGTTGGCGTAATCATCCAATGAAGATCTACGTCAAAAAAGAAATAGCCACAGACATTGCATTAACAGTTTACTTACGTAAACTATTCGAGAATGCCCGACTGGTTTCGAAGCATTCCGGAGCTCGTTTACTCACCTAACTCTAAGGTTATGCAGGACAGCTGGCTCGTGCAGGTATGACAGAGAGGTCAGGTCATTCTGGCCGATGAGGAGTGAAGGGTTCCGAAGTGGAGGCATCTTCGTCTCATCCTTGATCTGGAAGACAAAATAAAAGTTTTCATTTCAAGATATCTTTTTATTATATTTTAATTTAAAGACATTTTGTGCATATTAAATGTGGGAGAGCCATGCTTTGGCAATTGGCACGAATGAGTGGGCTCGACCGGAGTGATACCACGACATCACAGAAAACCGACGTGAAACAACTACAGCGCTGTGTTTCCGTTTGAGGTTACCGGAGACCCAATCCTTCCTCTCCCCCAATCCCTAAATCTCCAAATCCCTAATCCCCAAAAAGTTAGCAACGCACTCGTTACTCCTCTGTCGTCGTTGACCATGGGCGGCGCTGATTGCTTACCATCGGACAATCTGTCTGCTCGTTTGCCGACCTAATACATAAAAAAACAACATCCTATCGTATTTTTACATAATGTTATAGGTGTACAGCTAAATCTTAAGACTTACTGCAATTTAAAAATAGACCGCCTACCAGATCTCTTTTTTTGGACAAGGAATGTCATCATATGACTTTGAGCAAGAAGGAGTGTCAGACTCTTACTGACTAAAAACCACCCCATTCCTTATCCTGCTCCAAGCCTGGGCCGCGGTTTTTTATTATTTATTGCACTTGACCCGAAAACCCCGACTGAACATCAGCCCTATTGGGCCCCATTTTTGGCTCTTTAAGGCCTCAATAACACCACTGAGATCGTTAATTAAGTAAATTAGTAAAAGTGTAGCGTGTTTACGATGTCGCTACATATTCCCTTTAGGCTATTTACATGTGGCCTAGTAGTGGTAGCCTTGAGGGTTCAAAATCTGTAAATACAACTTTGAAAAATGAAAAGCATTGTGAATATTTCCGAGTTATATGTAGTTTCTATGATTATTTAGATACCACTGACTGTCACTGATTCAAGGCGGATTGGCGATTGTAAACTTATAATTAAAAAACATTAGTGCACTTTTCCTCATGGTGTCTATAAATTATCCCAATTTAGATCGGCGACTTTAAACTTGTAATTAGGATTTAAACTTAAATGTATCATTATTGAACATAAGCGACAAATTAAAAAATAAGCTAATAATTTTAAGTTTCGCTAATTAGGTTCGATATTTCTTGTATAATAGGTTCGCTCTTTGCTAAATTTAAATATGTATTAAAATAAGAAAATCATTGTCTAGTTTTTTCATATAAGCCTGAATGCTTAAACATTTACTTTGTGTTTAAATTACAGGCGTATAGATTTCAGAGACAGGTGCCAATGGAATGGAAAACAATATTGTTTAGCTCAAAAAGCATACGTCTCATTTTTATTATAATTTTTTTATTTTACTGTTGGTTAATATCTTGCCATGTAGTAAGAGATTACAGAGTCGAAATATTCGTATAGTCTTTTAATTGGAAGACTAATTAAGATTGGGAGACAAAATCTCTTTTTAGTTGGACACTATTAAAAACTTCAATAACCTAAAGGCAGTAACCAAACGCTTCAATTTAAAAAAAAAACAATAACCATAGCTAATGATTGACAGGTGTCATTCCTGTCACCTGTCAAACAATTTTCAAATATCAAACGTTTAAAAATACTTCATTTTTGTAATAATTTATAAACAAAAATGTCGGTGAAGTTTAGTATTTGTTATAAATAATATTACCTGTGCTTTTCTATCTCGTTTTGCGTAAACCGTTGAATTAAATAATTCACTGATCCCATTCAATTGGTTCATAATAGTTTGATAAAATTTTCATTCGATTCACAATGTACACATGTACACTGACAATTTTGACTTAAGTGTTTGTGTCAAGAAAAAGCCGTCAGTATCTTCGTGGAAATATGCATCAAACTTTTTTTATTAATCAGAGATAGGCAGAAGTGTACGTCGAGGTAGCCCGGCTGTTGCCGATGAGAAACCAGGCAAGTACCATTGTGACTATTTCAGAGTCATTATGTATTTCATGCGATTATTTAATTAAGAACACTCTTGACGACCGATGAATCTATACTAAATATTATAAGCTGAAGAGTTTTTTTGTTTTTTGACTTTCCTCGCATCATTCATCATTTGATGATTTTGCTCTGACAAAAAAAGGTCTGAAGGTGTGAATCGTATGTAAATTTGTTTTTGGAAACGCACTCACGACATCGGACAAAATTTTAATGTGAGACAAAATATTCTTCAGACTCCTGGGACTGCTTTGTGACCACCTGTCACCACCATAATCTCATCATCAGCCTACAAATGCCCACTACTGAGCAAATGCCTCTTCTCACACGGAGATGATTTGAGCAATAATCACCACGCTTGCTCAAGACGAATTGCCGATTTCAACTTATAATACATGTTACCTCACGATGTTTTCCTTCAGCTTATGTCAGTGGTGTCTAAATAATCATAGAACTCTTTACCACCATAACATTCGGTAGGTATTTTTATTGGTTTTGTTTTTTGTGGCAGTTGATGAAAAATATGAAAAACCCTATGAAAAAGCTTTATTTTCAAATACACTCTTTTTAAACACACTATACTGACCTTGATCTGGCGGATCTCCCCGGTCTGGTCGATCTTCACTATAAGCACGCCAGACCGGTAGTCTGACGTCACCGTGGCACTCTCCCATACTTTCTCTGGATGCTCCACCCATATTCGGGCACCCTGGAACAAAGATACAGTATTTTAGGAAGCTGTGGTAAAGCAACTACAACAACAAAGTTTGCTCTATTTCGGTGTGAGACTGAGGATTTCGAAGGCCCAATCCACGCCATTCTAAACCGAACTATCAAATCCTCAAAAGGATGATGCCACAAGACTTGTAACTTCTCTGGAATTGGATTGTCCTTGGGCAGCACTGATTGCTTACCATCAGGTGTTCTGGTTGCTCGTGTACTACCCTATGCCATGACAGACGACCTGATAAAAGTCGTCTTGAACTTCTGACTACAGATCGCTTCCAGACGAGAGATCTGGAAGACATTTGGGAAGCCTATTTTCAGAAATGGACGTCTTGTGGATGATTTGAAATGAGTCATATTAGGACTGCCATCGAAAGGCCTATTAAATTGCACCATCGTTGCTTATGGATAGGCATTTGACCGCTGTCACGCCAGGTGGTTAGCGATGATGCAACCTAAGTTGGAGCACGCCTACCCATAACCAACCTTCACTATTCACTCGGGCCTTAAAGACACCTAGGTTATACCCTTCAGACTCCGGCAAAGAATTCCACTCCTTAGCGGTTCGGATTATAAAACTGGAGGCGAACCGCTTCATGCTGGAGAGGAATGGAAAATTACAGAAGTTTTACACTTTCCTGCATAGGTCAGCAACGCGCATTTGTTTAAATGCCTAGATGCATTAATAATGCATAAGTTAAACAAATATTTTATTATTATTATTTTATACGAAACTAAGCAGTGGAGACTTCCTTAGTGTTTACATAACTTGCAAATAAAAATGACATCATATGACATTAATTAAAAATCAATGTATCGTCGTTAGAATTTGATCCCGTTAAACCAGAACAGCGTTCAATAAAACAAAGTTCTCGGCGCGTCTGTCTGTTCGTTCGCGATAAACTCAAAAACTACTGAACCGATTATCATGTATTTTCAATTTTGGATAAAGCGATTTGTGACATCATTTTGCTGTGTATAGAGCAGGCGAAGTTGGAAGTGCAAATGTTATAAGTTTTTTTTACTTTTATCGGTTAATGAATTGTATCTCCAAGACAGTCAGACAGGGTATTTAACCATTAAGTTAACATGATTCCAGCACAGAGCTGAACGTAGAAGGTTCTGACATTCTCTCCCGCTTCGTCCAGAGATCATTTCATGATTTTCCACCCGCAATAAAAATGATTGAACCATCAAGAAATGATGACCTTCATTTAAACGATGATGACACCAAATGATAATGCACGAATGCATTAGCGAACATAACAAACTAAGTTTTTTGAGAGACATGACATCATTCGACAAATATTAACTGCTATTAGACGAAAAGGTTAAATAGATTTTTTTAAAAACATCAATTAACAAATTGATAATTATTACTATCTTTATAGTGCCTCAAAGAACCAATAGACCACCACAGACGGGGCCCTATAGGGTTGTTGTTCAGCAGGGGTTGCAGGGTAAGCGCAATGAGGCACCGTGGGCTCGGCCTAACGCAGAAGAAGGAACGGGGGTTTAGTCTGTAAGAAGAATCTGTCACTCCCTCTAGCCGCTAGGCGGGAGAAGTCATAGGACGGTTTTCACATTAGAAAAAATGTCCTGTCCTAGTACTCCTACTATAGTATGAAAGCAAGCACAATTGCCGAGGAGATGGTTAAATTTCCTGGTCATTTCAGGGAACGAATTCTGATTTTGGGTCTTAAATATTTACAAGAGTCAAGTCCAAAATCTTTTTAACTGAATAAAGGGTCTTTGTTAGTCCTAAAATGTTATTTTCCCTTTCATTTGAATAAGTGTTTGCAATCCTAAAAGGATATAGATACTTATTTAAGGGATTATCTATACTTAATATTATAAAAAGGTAAAATTGTAAGTTTGTAAGTTTGCATGTAAGGGATAATCTTTGGAACCGCTAGTCGGATTGCCAAAATTCTTTCACTGATAGATAGCTACAATATTCATGAGTGCTATAGGCTATAAAACATCACGCTACGATTAAATGGAGCCGAGTAGCGGGTAAAACCGCGCGAGAGTAGCTAGTGAGTCATAGTTCTGCAGGAATGGTTCGTCTCGACCGAAGTGATACCACGGCCTCACTGGTTGTGTTTCGCCGTGTGAATGCGGTGACTGCGGCCCAATCTCATCCCTTCTCAGTCCTTAAATATCCGAATCCGAACCAACGCCGCCCATAGATAGCCGCAACACAACAAGAGTGACAAGTGCGTTGCCAACCTTTTGTGAGATAGGGATCGTTGATCGATGTTGCCAAACAATGATGCACAACAATGTGCTTGTTTCATGCCCAATTTCTGTGAGGCAGTGGCATCACTCCGGTCGAGCCGACCCATCCGTGCCGAAGCTTGGCTTAAACACATTTGGGACTAATTGTTTTGTCGTTTTCAATTCGAATATACATAATTTACATCTAAAACAGTTAAACAAATAAAATGTTGCGTAACTTTTGACTTAATTAATTCAAATTGTAATTCGTATAACTGGATCCGTCTCGCTCCTTCCTAAAAAGGTTTTCCATTAATATGGAAGGTTCTTCTTGTATCATCATTTCCTAACTTGAAACATAGTTATTCGAATTAATTTATAGTTCTATTTTTAAATTAACGGCTTCGCACGTGGGCAATGCCGATACTAAATTTCTTCCCTTATTAATGAATGTTATACGTATTTATAAACCTTCCTCCTCAATCACTCTGTCTATTAAAAAAGCGCAACAAAAAAGTAGTTTCAGAAATTTAAGGCTACTGAATGATAGTCCCGTTGGCTGGGAAACAGGCTACAGGCAAAAGTGCTGCAGGTTCGATACCCGCAAGGTACAACTCTGTGTTTTTTTATGTGATAGGTCGGCAAACGAGCAATCCGATTACCTGATGGTAAGCAATCAGCGTCACACATGGACACCCGCAACGACGGAGGAGTTACGAATGCGTTGTCGACCTTTTGGGGATAAGAGATTTGGGAGATTTTGGGTCAGGGAACAAGGGAACGGATTGGGGTAGGGGAAGGATTGGGCCTCCGGTAACCTCAATCGCACGGCGAAACACTACTCTTCGGTTATTTCACGCCGGTTTTGTGTGAAGCCGTGGAATCACTCCGGTCGAGCCGACCCATTCGTGCCGAAGTTGTTCCGGGTCACAAATTGTTGTTCCGGGTCTGGGTGGACACAATCCACCCAAGTAAAAATCTATGATTTGTAAAAGCACCCACGACACAGACTCTGACAAAGAATCTTTAACCATTTTCATTTTGATTACCTATATATTGGTACATTTTGATACAGGTTTTGTATTCCACAGAGTAAACAAATCGAGAGGCCCATAGTAAATATGTTACACATTTAAATGTCCATATTATTGTGTAAGAAGGTCGCGATACAAGCAGGTTTTTTATGTAAGTTATATCAAAACTATTTCAACAAACAATTTTTGCTTGGATTGCATAAATTAATTGAAAACTTGTCTTTTCGAATGTAGGTCTTAACGTTTGATTTGTGCAAGAGTTCTTCCGCGCAAAAAAAAACTAAATAGGTATTTCCCGTTGTAGTAGGTATTTTAGGAAATACTGACTAGTTTTTTTTTGGACGGTAGTCGTTAATGACTTCTTGGATGGGCCGAGGGGGATTGTCAGACTCTTACTGACTAAAAACCACTCCGTTTCTTCTCCTGCTCCATACTACACAATTAGTATTGCAACCGCTAATCCAGAATTCCTATCTAGTGTGAATTGGGTAGTTTCCTAGGTCAAAAATAAATTAATTCGACTTTTAAATATTGAAAAATAACTATACTTTTATTCATCGATCGATCGATACCTACACAAAATTTTAGATAAGTATTTACTTACTATTTTTTAAGAAATACGAAAGCTTTTTCTCTCTAAAATACTATGACGTCATAACTCAGCCTTTCATACAAATTTTACAGAAAAGTGAAGAGAGTAGTAATAGTTTTTTACATTCGGATAAAAGTAGGTATTGAATTTGACTAGTTGGAAACTACCGTATTATATTTGCCTTATAAATTCCACGGGGCAAATTTTATATCGCCATTTTTTTAAGGTGTGCTCTATGCATCGCCTTTACGTGGCTGTATTTGGTTAGTATCGCTAAAACTCTAAAAAGACTTGACCAACTTGTTTATACTGGTCTTACGATAAGAAAGGGGGGAACTAAAGATGAAAAAGTATAAAAAAAATTCAATTTTAAAAAATTATATGTATTAAAAGCTGACAGTTTTTCACACACAAACTGCTATTTAAGAGACTGTTTATGTGATAGATGTAACTAGCAGACGGCTTACTTGATGGTAAGCAATCGGCGCCGACCGTGCACACGCAAACACCAGAGAAGTTACGGGAGCGTCTTTTGGGATTAAGGGTTTCGGAGATTAAGGGTTTGGGGAGGGAAAACATTGGGCCTCCGATAACCTCATTCACACGGCGAAATAAAACGCTATGGTTGTTTCACGTCAGTTTTATCAGCCAATCTATTCTTGCCAAAGGACGACCCTTCCACACTTTTAACAATTATATGTTCGACGCGCAACCAAATTCGAATTATTAAACTTTTTAAGGCTAGGCAGTCTTAATGAAGTAATGAACTTAAAGACGGGTTGTGGGTTAAGCGCAATGAGTCACCGCGGCCTCTGCCCAGAGCAGGAGAGTCTTTAGTCAGTAAGAGTCTGACACTCTCTCTCGCTTTAGCCTGGGCGGGAGAAGTCATTTGATGATTTTCCCCTGACAAAAAAAAACAAAACAAACGCAATAACTCAATTCCATAATAATATTTAATATTTATACTGATTCGAGATGACTTTTCTTTTTTATGTTCGATAGGTAATTAATTGAAAAAGACTACAAATCATATAGACTATAAATCATAACATTCTAACTATGAATAATTGTTTTTTTTATTGTGAAAATCGACCATAGACTTTTTCCGCCATGCTTGGGGCGAGAGGGAGAGACTTTTACAGATAAAAAACACCTCGTTTTTACGATAAGTAACATATGAATGACATTCTTAGTCTCAACTAAACTATGTATATCTTGCAGTCAGCATACGAGATTAGTGGTGAGCGACTTATTGATGTTGAAACAATACGAGATCTAGGTGTACAGTTCAATAAAAAGCTAAGTTTTGTCGAACATATTGATAAAACTATTTTAAAATCCATCAAGATGCTTGGTTTTGTAATGAGAGAGTGTAAAAATTTCAAAAAACCGGCCATCAAAAAAATTATGTACAATTCTCTGGTAAGAAGCCATCTCGAGTATTGCAGTGTGGTTT